AATCGTAAGTAAAGTTTCTGTGCCATTATGTTGAAAAAAATGAAAAAATTCTTTATTAATGTTAAAACAAAGAATTATAAGGAAACTGTGCTGTAAACCGGAGACTCGTTTACTCCATAGCGGAGGCTCGGTATGCCTAGCAAATATGGTAGGCTCGTGTCTGCATGGAGGAGGCTCAGACGTCCGGGTATTCCCTCACTCGCAGTTTCTAAATGGTTTTTGGATAACAAAATAATTCTTCACGTGGCGTTTAGAACTCGTAAATTAATCTTTTAATTCATTTAACAAAAAGAAATTTCCATATTATTGATTGTAATGATTTAATACTACTCAAATTAACCCTTGCAGTTGACAAGAATATGAAATAAATGCAGATATATTTCAAAAAGCAATAAAACACTTAAATTTTCATCTTAAAAATTGTTTAAAATTTATAATTCCTGAACATTTTATCAAAAGATATTTATTCTAATATTGTATTCACCGAGTAGAAAATACGTAAAGAGAGTGAAATTGAGCCGAAAAAAAGTGTAAAAAGTACCGTGCAGCAAGCGTAAATAAAAATAATGTAAGACAAAAAATATGACAACTTGGATATTTCCATTAAAATTTATAAATATATATTGCAAATATACTACAATTTTTTTCTCTTTTTTTAATAAAATTTTCAGCAAAAGCTACTTTTGTATAAATTACTGTAAAGAACAGTATATTTTTAACTTTACTTTTAAATCCAGGAATACACTGCAGTGTGAGCCCCCAAAAAATTGGATGAATTTGTTCAATATAAATCTTATTAAATGTTTCAAAAGTGTATAAATAAAAGGGGGAGGGTCTAGATTATGCAATCCCGAATTCCTTCTCGCCCTTTAGTTGAATTATGTAAAATACGTAATTAAAGAAACTCAAATTTTCCTATTCCTATATCTTTGCAAAGATATAGGAATTAAAAATCTGAGTTTGTGTCACGACTCAATTCTTTTGAAACAACATATGAACTGTACCAATAATCTAAAGTAAAAGTAATTTTTGCATGCGCTCTCTTTTAATATTAGTACAAATGATGCTTTTAAATCACCCATACATGTTTTAAAGATTATAATTAATTTAACAACTTTAAAACTCAGTGATTGCATTCCGGAAATGTTTACAAACAGACCAAATTTATGACTACATTCTATTATAATTGTAATGAACTGTAGAAACCGTGTACAATGTACAATTTACAATGTATATACGATGACAAAACGTTAAATGTCATCATCTTGAATTTCTTTTATATTTTCTATACCTCTTCAGCCTTGAGTTATACTGGGATAGATAGATAGATAGATAGATAGATGCAAAGATGCAAGGATGAAGAAAGGTTTTGTAAAGGGTCATTGACTGCAGTGCCTATCCGGGTCCTCAAACCATACAGTTAATCAGTATGCAGTGTACAAACACGGATGGTAAAAATACATACAATTTTTTGCTATATATAAATGTGGTATCTTTATTTTGTCTTGGGAACTTAGTCTTGATTTGATTTCTGGATTTGTAAACTTTATAGTTGTCGTTTTGAATGTAAACTAGCTAAAGGGCCCGGCGTTGCCCGTGGAAAAAAAATTGAAAAAAAACGTTTTAAAAAAATGATATAAAAAGTTTTTAAAAAAATGTTGAAAAAGGAAAAAGAATAACTTCGAATTATTTTAGCCCCCCGGTCACCCCTGAGTGTACACAAAAAAATTCAGCCCAATCGGTCCAGCCGTTTGGCCGGCTATACGCAACTTATATATATACGAATGTCTTGTTTTATTACATAGATATTCTAAAAGAAAAGACTATGAATTCAGTGCAATTAATAGACGATGGAGTACATTTGGATATTTAAAATGGTTTGGTTAGAATGGATGACAGCAGGCCGACTAAATTATCTTAAATAAAAGTTTTATCTAAATAAATGCAATGAATTATACTTACAGTGCAATGTCGAAAATAAAAAAACAAGAATTTCATTATAAAGTGTCAAAATGTCAGAACTGTCAATTTCTCTAAACTATAAAAGTAAAAATATTCATAAATGTATTTATCATAAAAAAATTATTTTTAGCCTAAAAAATTCTTAGACTTGAAGTAATAAATGTTCATGATAAAATGGTGATTCTTGAATTAATTATTTATTAAATATATATGGTTTTATTAAATGCAATGTTGGGATTGTAATTACTGAATGGCAGGATTTATTTCTTTACTGTGAATTGCGTAACTGTATCATGTGTGTTTGCGTACCCTTGAACCAGGAACAGGTATGAACGAATGTATCCGGAAGTAAATGTAAAATCTAACGGTGTAGGCTGCGCGCTTACAGACAGCGCGCGTCTTACATAATCCAGCATCCCGTACGCCGGTGCCAATGCACATATTTCCTGCAATTCGCGTCATGTGGCAAACGTAGAAAAGGTCATAATCGTCATACGCAAGCTGGGAGCCTAGAGAAACCATAGTTTTAACAGTTTATACACATTACACACAGACACAATACACTCTACAGGGACAAAGGACAAAGAACCTTTACACTGAAGCTAGAGGGAGAACAAATGAAATAATTAAATGAACTGAACTCTAGAAATAATTGTCCTGGGTCAAACAACATAGGGTAAAACGACCTATGGGGTCAAACGACAAACGGTCAAAAAGCCACAAATCGATTTACAACGTTACCCTTAAAAGCTTTGTCTGATCAAGTTTGAATTTGATACGAGTTTATTTAATCTAAAATGTTTTATTTTTTGTGGGTTCTCTGCAGAAGTAACTTGCGCATGTCTTGCCTATAAGAAAAGTACACCGGCAGTATGGAAACAGTACAACAAAATGGCCGTTTTACACTTTTTTCTAGTAAATTCCACTCTAATATATATTCTATTCTCTATGACCATAGTATATACTTCATATATCTCCGCTGTACATCCTCTGTCGTAGGTGTGAGGGCGGAAAAATTACCTTACGTCATAGTTTATACGTCGTATCTTCGCTGTATTTCTTTTGTCGTAGGAGCGACGGTGAAGTGATCAATATGCTACCATAGTATATACTCCATGTTTCGTATATACGAAAGAGGAGAACAAATTAACTAACCAAATAATTGAACCCAGGCGCGTAGTGGAGGTTCAGCCTAGGGGGGGGCGCACTGTTGGCGCGGTGAATTTTTTCTGTGTACCCCTCTAACGGTTCATGTGCACCCCCCTAAAAAACCGGTAATACGAAAAAATACAAGTTTAAAATTTATATTTATCTACCTGAAGGCTGACTATTAGTCATCTGTCCATAATTACCAATCATTTTAATTGAACCCCGCGAAAAAATATTGTAAATAAGAAATCCAACCAATGCGCCTGTTTTGAACCCAACCTAGGAGCCATGGTTGTGCATCCAACCTTGGAGCCTGATATGTGAATCCAACCAAGGAGCCTATTGTGAATCCAACCAATTTATTACGATTTCGATTAAAAATGTATTAAATTTAAGACTATTTTGAATAATAATCTATTTAATTTATGACTTTTTAGAACCCATGAAAACACATACTAAACCTTTAAAAGTTTTTTTTAGTCGAAAAGGAAGATTATTATAAGTGAATTCGGTAAAATATCTTAAAATCTTTGATTTAAGCGAAATCTTTTTTTAATAATCTTGTAAAGCAAAATTATTGTTTAAAGAATATTTTATGTTTTTTTTATGATATCAAAAAAGAGGTATTTCTTAAATCAAAGATTTTAACAAATCCAATCAAATTTATTTTAAAATTTGTTCTCTAACATCTTCCTTTTCGCAAAATAACTTAAGTGTTAGCATGAAATTTCCACACAAAAAGGAGACTCGGTGCTGCATAGCAAATCTGGGAGGCTCATGACGGTCGGGGGTTCTCTCCCTACTTAGGCAGACCTACAGATTCATTTGATTCCTCTTTGATATCCTGTGAGTGCCATACCTTGAAGAGTTAACTTTAAAAAAGAAACAAGCATTGATCCTGAAATTTACAAGTACCCACATTGGATATCGAGTTCAAGATTAATGCTATTCCACAAAGTTCCGATCTCTGTCTAATTTTTATTAGCTAGTTGTTCAAAAGTGTTTTTTTATTTAAGATGTGGGGAAATGAAAATCTTGCAGAAAAGTAGTTCATTTTCTTCAAGTCAGTGTTCGGCGAAGAAGAAAAGGGTTGGACAATTTTCAAAAAGAAAACAATCTTTTTTTGTGGCACAAGTGTAATGTCTTTTTTAGAACACAATGTATATTTCAAACTTAATGATATCTCGAGTTATAAACTAAGAGCATATTTAGATTTCTAGAAACAAAAATAAAATAAATAATATTAAAATAGTATCTAACTTTAGACAAAAATTTATTTTCATTGGTTTTCATTCCTTAAAAAGTTTGTCGGCAGGTGATGATTGAGCGGATCAGTTTATTTTCAGGATTATTTTGTAATAATTTGATATTCTGGCATCAATATACAAAACTGGCACCTTTCTCGGCCTTGCTTTAATTAAGGTTGAAAAAAAAACTAGGCACTTTTAAAATAAAAAGTCTTGAAATATGAAATGTTAAATTAAGTCACAAAAAAGAGGAAATATTATCAGAGCTAAAAACTTTAGAATGGAATATCCTTATTCCCCGATCTGTTAATTAATCTGGAGATTAAAAATGAGAGGAGAACAAGCAATATTTAATCTGGAGATTAAGAAAAAGAGTGGATCAAGCATCAATCCGGATATCCACCATTCTTAAGTTCCCAGCTCTGAACAAGCATAGCACATTTTCCCTCCAAGTTAAATTATTTCACGACTACTAAAACGAGAATATCCCCATTATGCAACTCTAAACACGAATGAATGACGCAGGACCTAATTCTTTATTATTATTTTATGAAAAAGGCCCCAAGTCTTGTGCAGTTTTAAATTAGAGAATTGTTTAAGATAAATCTAGGACCTAGGTTTCATTGAATAAGATAAATAAACTATGATAAATATAATATAATTAATCAAATGAGTTGGGAGACAAAAAAAAAACGAAAACAATTGTTTGCAAAGGGTTGGAGGACTATCGATAGAGATGCCACGCATACCAGGTTAAATTGTTAAAACTAACTTCTGCTAATTTTCTTTCTTTGCCGCGTCGAAGTAGCACCTGAAATAATAAAATTAGATTTTAGTAGTTTTTCTAAATAAACAATAGGCACACTGCTGAAAATAAACAATTAGGTTTCAAGTAAAAACACCAAAACTTTTCCTACTGAGTCATAATCTCAAGTTTTAGAAAATGCCACGTAGGGAAATTTGAGTAAATTCTAGAAATCAAGTGCATTTTCAGGTCTTAAATCAAACGCAACTCTAATTTAAAGGCTTAATTAAGCTATTTCTGTGTTTAAAATAAATTATTTTAAACTGTAAAAGGCAGGATCTCCAAATTTAGTGAACTTTCCTAAACAGTCGTAAGACATGGTTTAGCAAAAAATCAAAGCCCTCTGTGAGCGTGTGACTACCTAAGTACTGTCTGAAAGAGTCTTTTTGAAGCGAAATCAGTAAAAATCATACGAAAAGAACTTTTTCATACCGTATTTAGACAGGGATTTGATTTTTTCCTACAATAAAAAAACTTCAAAAATATTTTTGGAACAGTGAAAAAAATCGCGCGTAACTATTTTTTTTTGCAGAAAAAAATTATAATTTTTACAAAACTTTATGGGAAATGTTTATTCTATTGTTGTCCATAATTTCAATGAGAATTCATTAAAAGATATGACAAAAAATCCGTGAAATCAAAAATTTTTTTAAAGGGAATGCTCACTGTGCTCTGTGCAGTGTGCACATAGTGTTATATTTTTAAAAATGTCAGGACACACCAAATACAATTTATTCTAACCTCGTAAAGTCTTATTTTTTTTTTTTAAATAGGGGTTGGAAAGGATTTTTTAACAATCAATAATTTAGTTTTTTTTAAAAAAGACAACCAAAAACAAGTCCAAGCTAAATTCGTTTAAAGTTGAAAATTTAAACTGTAATTTAAAAATAATCTAAAATTTGTTAAATATAACTTTTCTATAAAATTCTATTTAGGGCCAGAGAGAAAACCTTAAAACAAGGAAAACCAATTTACTGAATATGTTATATTTTTAAAAATGTCGTCTTAAAAATCTCTTTTCAGCGTATTCCAAGGTTTTAAAAAGACCCTATCATCTGCTGAAAGTTGAGGAGCCTTTTTACTATGCTCTCACAAAAGACTTAATGCTTGCAAATATTCACTTAACATTATTTTTTGTCATATCTTTCAATTTTTTACAAGTTTTTATTCCCCATTTTCTAGGTTACATAGCTTCAGTTGTTGATTAAAGATTTTTTTATCATGTATGCGCACAGATTATTAAAGTTACTCGAATAAATCACACAATTAATGTAAAAACAAATTCTTTAGCCAATTATGTGTTCTTAATTACTAGCTGTCTATGAATTAAATGTATACAATTAGCCAAGCTATGTTATTATGTTTAAACGGCTTTTATTAAAAATGAAAGGTTAATAAAGCTGAAAATTATTTTGAAGGTGCACTTTACTCTGCCACTGTTTTTAAAAGAAAAACAATTTTTAATAAACATTTTCTAACCTTGTGATGTTTCTCCGTTACTACTGTTTGTGATTGTGGGAGGAGGGTAGGGGATTTTAAACAGAAATATATTCAAATATTCACAAATTTCCAGACATACTCCTCCACAATATCTCAGTAGGTCTACTACTACCCATACCTAGAACAAAAGGCGAAAAAGCATTAAAACAACATTTTAGTTGTGTTGCAATTTTCCCCCAGTCATTTTTTATACGAAATTTCTTGTTTAAGTTTTCATGAAAAACTTTGAAAAGAGTGAACATGTTTACATTTTTTTACTCATAATCCCCCCCCCCAAAAAAAAAGGGATGTTAAGATATTCAAAATGCTCCTTGAGGAAAACTAAGTAAAATGAACCCGCTTTGCAAAGTTTTTGTAAAAAAAAATCGTCTATTTTTATCTCAAAAGAAAGTTGTCTAAAACTACTATTACAGGAAATTAAACATTTTACTTACGATGGGGACCCTTGGTAAAGAAGTATTCCTTAACTTCTCGGTATAGTAGTTGCAACATTGCTAGGTACAGTGTACAATATATTTACCATGGCTAGGGAAAGCAGCCATTTCTCTGGGACTACAGTGCTAAAATACTGGTTTATCATCAACATCATAGGAGCCAATAGAGCAGGGTCCCTAGAATACATAATAGAGCAGGGTCCCTAGAATACATCTCAGGGATATTCAAGGAATAAATAGGATGAAACTTATATTTCTAAGTGACTGCGCATTTCCTCATTAAATTGGGGAAAATATTTGATTTTAGGACAAACCTATTTGGAAGTTCTTGAGATTTCCGGAGAAATTCTGAAAAATTTCTGGAAGTTCTTGAAAGCTTAAAAGCCTTTAATATACTTTAAAACTTATCAAAAAGGGTGCCAAACACTTAATAAAAATAATCTGTTTGATCTGGATTTAAAAATATTAAAAAACAGTATTTTCCATTTCGCAAGTTATAAGTTGAAATTGTGTGAACTTAAAAAAAACTAAAAAAGAAAGAAAGCGTAATTATTTTATTTACCTATGATGAATTTCACTTTTGCACATATGCGCAACCTAAAAAATAAGAATTAGATGACACACTAATTAAGATTTTAAACAACATTATGTTCGCAAATCCATTTTAAAAGGGTGTTCTTACCACAAGTCTGTTTGTAATTTTAGCAGCAATAAGACCAAACATTAGAGTGTAGAGTATCGGTTGGTCGTGGTAGACAGCCTAGAATAAATGCCTTTCAAAGAACGATGGTAAAATAAAACGACCCCCCCCCCCCCCCNTATCGGCATATTTAGAGTTGAAAAATACATATTACAAGGTAAATTTCTTTATTTAACCCATAAACATTACTAACTAAAGGAGGATTTTAACTTTTTTAGACATTTTTTATTTTCCTATACATTAATTCCATGTTTAACAGTTGCTGGGTAATAGAAAATTGAGAATAAATTAGTAAAAAACATTTAGCAAAGATGAATTGAGACTAAAAATGTTGTTTAGAAAATCGGGTCTTCAGAGTTAACGCTTACCTCGTCTGATCTGTACGCAATAACCCAGGCTGGAAGAATAACAAATAGAAGAGGAGATGCAGGGGAAAGAACACTGGTGCCCTGCAATTAATTTATGTGCACTAAAATGTTTTCTTAACTAAAAAAGTGATAAATCTTAAATTCCAATTCCTTGATAATTGATAAACCCTCAATTATTAGGCCCCAAAAGTTACCGCTCAAATTGATTTTAAAGACCAGAGAAGAGGGATAATTACTTCAAAGTTTGTTTGAATCTAAAAAACCCCGAGGGCAAAGTTCCTGAATAAAATGTTATTTTAAAATCAACTTTCATTTTCTTTCCCAACAAATAAATTTAGTGAGGAGTTTAATTTTTAGATTTTTTGTAGATATCTAAAAACATTCTTAAATCTACATTGTTACTTTGCGTTCTCTATCTGTGTTACAAAGTAATATTCAGATAATAGTTAAAAGAGGAAAATAGTGTCAGTTTGTTTCTCATTAAAAACATCGCGGATTTGAAGTAAAAAAAAGATTTTACCCTTGAACTATGAACGGAGTTTCCTTTTCACAAAATAACAAACTTCGAAAACATATTACATCCTAGAAAACTAGCAACAGTCTAAATAACCTTTTTGTTGTTTTAAAATTGATTGAAAATATTAAAATGGCTTATTCTTAAAGATGTGAAGTGTTAAACTGGGATAATCGTTTGTGTTGAAAGTTAAAATTTTTCATTTGTTGTGTTGAGAGTTAAAATTTTGCAAAGTGTATTGTGAAACACTGTAAGGGAAATGAAATGTTTTACTCTACAGGACATTTTAACAGTGCATTAACAATATTTTTTAATGTAAACTCAAAAAATATGGATTGCATGTACATTGTACATTGTACAATGTACATGTAAAATATATATTTTACATAATATGTAATGATAAAAATTCAAGTTCATTTAATAATGTTAAGAAAAACCAAGCTTAAAACCAAGCAATAAATCAGCTTCCTACGATGATTCTAAGATGTGTGTATACAATATACACTGTTTAAATTTCCCGCATAAATACGTTTTATGCCCCCTCCCCCTTTTTTAAATTAAAAACACATTTGAAATTTAGATTTTTGAACGAAGCAAGTAATTTTCCCGCACTAACTCCATTCTGGAATATACATAAACAGGTTGCATTAAATTAATTTTTATTATTATTATTTATTAATACTAATGAGCCCTATTTTATAAACGAGAGATACAGGAAATAGGGTTTACAAAGTTTTCCGACGAGTCTGATAGAAAAAACATGAAAAATTTACAACTACCAAGGTTTAGTTAAAACGGTTTCAATAGTTGTTGTAATCACCTATGTGTAAGTAACAGTTTTAACCAGTTTCATTCCATTTTAATTTATTTGGGACTATTTGTAATTTTCCTGTATCTCTTTTAAAGTAAAACAAGAAATTTTAGGAAAAGAAGCATGCACCCTCCTCTAAACTACTCAGTAAAGCGTCAGCTTTGATTTTTTTCATAATAAACAAGGACAAACTTTATCAGTCAAATTTAACCAACCTCTTCTTAACATTGGACCACCGTAAATTCAAGAAAAACATCACATATATCTTATCTTTCTAATAAAATTTTACTACAAATTACAACACACAAAAAAAAATAAAGTTAGGAATAATTCTACCTATGGAATAGTTAGGCAACTTATATACTATCCAACAGGGGTGTATATTTTCAGGAAAAATTATCCACCTCTTTCACTTTTTCTCCAGGAGTTAGGTAAGACTATTTTTTAGGATATCCTCGCTAAATTGGGGAAAATAAACATATTTTTGGGAGAAAAGTATCAAAAAGGATAAACATACTTACTTTTTGAGATCCAACTTTTCATTCCCCCCCCCCTGTCAAGATCACCAAAAATCAAATTTTATCACAACCTATTATCGATGTAGATTAGCAAATTACTCGAGCCTTTCACAAATCCTTCTGTATTAAGCAAAAAATGAGTGGGGAGATGTTGGCATATTTATCGATAATAAAATATATGCGATTCTTTATACTTGCATTGGCCTTTTAGAAGTTCAAAACTTAGGCACTCTAAGCCAACGTGATAATCAATAGAGATAACTTTTTAAAGCTATCAAAATTAAGGGAAATATCTTAAGCCATGAAATTAAATTTTTAATTTTCTAAATGGCAAATGGGTTGTCACCACAATGTATTTAATTCCAGCATCTGGTTCTAGAAAACTTCTCCCTTCATACTGTGGCTGTACTTTTTAAATACAAACTGTGCATAATTGAAATACTTGAATATACTACTATAAAACACCCCAACAGAAAGGAAACATATAACATACAGTTAGGGTTGTTAATCTTTTTTTGTTTCGTTTTTCAATCGTTTTCAAAAGCGATCGTCTCGTTTTTGAAAAAAACGATCGTTTTTTAAAAATGACCCACTCGTTTTGAACTTTTAAAAAACGAATAACGATCGTTTCAGAAAATGATCGTTTTTTTAAAGACGATTTGTTATGTTAACAATCGTTAACGATTGTTAACGAAACGACGAACTTTATAAAAACGGTCGTTTTTGGAAAAACGATCGTTTTTGAAAAAAAATTACATGCAACGTTATTGAATGTCGTCTTCATGTTAAAAAGTTGTGGGGGAGCTAAAACTTCTTGATATTTTCTTAAAAACTACTCAATGATAAGTACAGATAGGGATGTTAAAATTTTAATTTTTTGAAAAACGATCGTTTTTTTCAAAAGCGGTTTCGATTTTTTATCGTTGTTTTCATAACGAAACGATCGTTTAAAAAAAAAATGAAAACGTTAACATCCCTACGTACAGGAGCTGATGAGCACCAATGAACACCTAGATCAACTCACCGCTAACGTGCTCCCATTCTTGCCTGCACCAGGCGATGTACAGATAGGCAGGGTTCCACTGTACCAAGATCAACCATGATTAACAAATGAATTGAATCAAGACCAATCCAGTTTTTATATCATCTGACACAGTGTTATTTTTTTTATTCCCACACGTCTTTTAAAAACCAAATATTGGAAATCATTTCATTTCAGAATTGGATCTTAAATTTAGTTTCGTATTGCAATTAAATAATTGCGTATGTTTTTAAAAGTAGATCCTCCCTGAGATGAAAAAGTGCTATACCGACACCAGTGGCAACATATGCATCACGCAAAGTTAAGAAGGATCCAAAAACCTAAATGTTAGATAACACATATCTATTAAAGCTAGGACTATCTATAGCATTAAACCAGGGACTTAAACCTTAACCAGTTCACCTCGCCACATCTGTACAAGAACATTGCAGAACATTCCAGAACAGGTGACAAGGCGATTGGTCCAAAATATAAGATTTGGTGTCCAAGTAATCACTAAATCTATCGAAGGTCTGCTGTCCTAGTCTTCAAGGGAAAGTAGTAGAAGAGTGTGCATGCATCTTAACCTATCTTAACACATGCAAACTTACAGCAACAGTAGAACCACTCTTTCCAGCCCCACCATTCAGGATTTTATCAATGGTTCCACCAGGAGTTATCATTGATATTAATCCGCAACCTGCTCCAAAAAGTGTCACTACTTGGTTCAGAGATATCAAAACTAACTGAAAAATGGATTTAATTTTATTAAACGATAACAATACCTACCTATTAAATCTGTTCATTATAAAGTATAAAAAATAAGAAAAATAATTTCTTAAAAATTTTAGTTATTTCATCAATATTTCGAGTGATGTCTTTAAAAAATTTCTTTTACAATTGTCTAAGGCATAATATGGAATTTTTGTTTAATCATCATTTTCAAATTCAAATGCTTATCTTAATATAAACATTGGAAAATAAACATAACAAAAAATGTGTACTTTAATCATATTATTCTGATGCTCAAATCAGCATCTAATACTTAAATAAATCAGTGTTTGCAACGTTGATTAATAAATAAAATAATAAATCATAAATTTATGTTTTAACAATTAAACCATTTTTGTAGTATTTCCCCTGAAAAAAAAACTCAATTTATCAATAAAAAACCATGAATTTTAATGTCGGCGGAAAAAGAAACATGCATTCCTGGTTTTTAAGCAATTGTATCGTTTGAAGCAATTAGCTACGTTCTTTAGGAGTTTAAATTTCACTCTGAAGTATAATAGTAAAATCTTACACTAGTTGCCCAGATGTCAAGATTAAAGAATGACGAGAAGGAGGATAGAAGCATAACACAGACGACAACCAATTGTCCTTCTGTTACGTCGATCTTTCCGAACTGAAGAGTTCCTAAAAATATTTGAGTTTTCTCGTTATAAATTGTTGATTATTTACATATTTTCAAAAGAAAAACAGTAAGAAAATATAAATCAAGATTTGTCCAGTTTAGACAGGAACAAAAAAATATATAGTTACTTTAACATGCATATTTAAGGTATCACTTAAACTTTTCACCTGACACATAGGTTTGCCAGTGTGCACAGTAGAACAGAGTTGAGGCACACAAGCACTGAAATAATATTTTTTTAGTTTTTGGTTTTTGTATGAAGTGTATGGGTGTATGTATGTATGTATGTATGTATGAATGGGTGTATGTATGTATGTATGTATGTATGTATGTATGTATGTATGTATGTATGTATGTATGTATGTATGTATGTATGTATGTATGTATGTATGTATGATGTATGTATTTATGTATGTATTTATGTTATATGTATGTATGTATACCTGGAAAAGCATCCAGCCCGGATATCTACCAAGCTGAACAGCGCAACAGGACGCCAAACTAAAACATGTTAAAAATAAATAGATCCTCATTAAAAGAATTAGGCACTTTAAGTTTATTTACAATTCACAGCGTGTACAATGTTGGTTTTGCTTCACAGTGATGGAAAAATTTTAATATTCTGATAGAAACATTAAAAACATGCATTTTTTCAATTATGTCCTCACCTGACAAACACAGTACTTAAACTATCACATCCATGATCAAATAGTTCTCCTAAGGGATTTGAACTAGAAGTCCTGCGGGCCTGTTTACCATCAATGGCATCTAGATAATGGGGGAACTTAAATGGTAAGAGGGCTAAATTGTAGTGTTCATCTCAACAGTAGTTTTCATCTAAATAATGTTCAGCATTGTGTATTTCTATAACTTACTTAGCTTATATAATATAAAATGACATTTTTCTGAACAGGCATATTTTGCTTAATATAAATTATATATTAAAAGTGGAAACGCTAAAATCCTTTAAATAATACTACTATCTAATTTACCTAGTGTTTGATAAACAAACAACCCTACAGCACAAAGTGATGTTGTCCACCAGGGCGCATCTTCAGTAGCTGTTGGACAGTATGCAATTAGTATTAATGAGGTGAAGATGTTTACAAACAAACCAACAATTGTAATCAGGTTTGGGGCTACCCATAGCGGGACAAACTCAACTATCCTAAAAAATGAACAAATTTAAAGAGAGGGAGGAACTCACCTGGATTGAAAGAAAAAAAGAAAGAAAGGCAAAATTTTAATGTTGGGACATTTCATAGAAAGACATTTCATAGATGGGACATTTCATAGTTCGACACCTCATTTCATCGACAGGACATTTCAATTTTTTAAATTAATCGAATTTAATAAATTATACCCTGTTCTTTCCATGATTTATCTTACTTTATAGTTTATACTTAACATATTATTCATATTTTTGCTTTTAACTATTGTAGAAAAATGTCTTACTCCGCTTTATATATTATGAGCTAAATATGCTGCTTCAATCTATCACACACTCCATCCTCTCTACCTATACAGGTATATATGATCCATAAATAACACTCCTTGGCAATCCTTTAGAACTAACATACCAGTGTAATCTTCAGGCTAATACTTCCTCAGGGTAATGGCCTTGAATCACAGTATTCTTGTGTTTGGTAGATCTTCCTAATCCCCTGGTTACAAAGAATAGGACTAACAAGATTGTATCAAGTAGAACCATATGATGAACCTTTCCCTGTGCTTATATGTCCTGTGTCACTGTCCCTTTCTAAACTGGAGTGTGCTCTTACCAACATGAAACAAATTTACCGCTGAGGACTCTGTATTGTCCTGCCTCTCCCCACTCTCCCTGTTTCTATCACCAGTAGTGGTACCAGCCTGCCTGCACTGTCCCGCAGACTTGTAATCTTCGACTGCTGCTGTCTCATGGTTGGATCTAAAACTTTTCTCTTCCTACATTGGCTGCATAAATAATTCAAGCCAAACTTGCATTTCTTTGGCTGATCTAATCCGCCAGATCATTTTCACATATCTCATAAGAGGTTCTCTGGTTGGTCTGTTGACTATACTTTATGCCTTCTCTATGCCTCCAGTATAGGTTTTGCCAATCTTGTGATTGTAATTTCTTATGAGCTCCTGTCTTCCCCCCATGTCTACATCTGTGTTTCAGCTTGGGTTTGGGTTCATGACGTTGTATTCTTGATCCAATATGTCTACAGCTAGGCCAGGGTCTGGGTTCTTGACCCCATCTTCTAGGACCAATCCATTGGTCATGTCCAGCATCGATTCTTCAGATACATCCCTTTGCCCCTCCCCCTCTGTGTTCTTGTTATCAGAGTTAGCCAGTGATTTAACATCCATTTCTACATCTGTACTATCATTAACGATCACATTCCTGTGTTTTATCCAGAGACGGGTTTAACTGACCACTAGTACAGTTGGGATGGTTTGAACTTTGTTCAACTGGCAGGGGAAGGAGGAAAACAGACAAGGGTTCCTTTCTGATACTGGGCAATTCTATGCTTTCTACCCCTATTAATGTGAAGGGGTGGGGAGCATCACTAGGGTATCCATCACGAAACTCTTTAAATACATCTAGACTGACCAGCCTAGGTTTCCCTTTCTCATATTCTTCTTAATTATAAAAAACTAATACTTAAAACGTATAGTTAATAGGACTAAATCCTAAAATGGCAGGATTGGATAGGACAAAACATCCCGTTCGACACTGCTATGGTCGGCAGCTCCTGGCTCATCATGGCTAACAACAGGCTCATCAAATAACAATTAAAAACTCCGTTTCTCCTTCAAAAACCTTCATCTTCTCAAAAAACTTTCCTTCATTTTCTCAAATAGCTTTCCTTTATTTTCTCAAATAGCTTTCCTAAAATGATCATCCTAGGTTTGTGGTGTCTCAGGCTTTATTGGATTATAGAAATGATTATAAGAAGGAGAAAGGTTAGCTTTAAACAATAAAAAGAAGTTTAAAAATTGAGCCATTAAAAATCACATTGCTGCGATAGTTGTATGAATCAGTTCTGGAGTGGATTTGGCCTGGCCTGGGCGAACCCACCTGCAAAAACACAGTTTAGAATTAAAGAAGAATAAAAATCTAATGAAAACAAATTTTTAAATTGTGCTCTTTGTAAAAGGGGCACTGGACCCCTTGTTTGATACATGGGTCCAGTGCCCCTTTGGCACTGGACCCATGCTGGGTCTTGCATTTTTTATATAAAAATCCATGGCTTAGAAAACTCAATGTGCAAAAACTGATGAATCAGCCCAGCCCACTCCGCCTCCGCCACAGGTATTAATTAAATTTAAACTTTTTAAAAATAAAATTACCAAGGTAAATAATTCCAATTCCAATAAATCCTTTCTGTGTAGTTTGGTGGTCAAAACTTCAGTTTGTTCCGCATTTTTTTAATGGTGAATATCATTTGTTCTAGTTTCTTCCCCGGGATTTCCATTGGTTTGTAATATTTGTTTTTATCAATGTTGCATGTTTTGAATATTTTAATGACATATTTATGTCTTTCTGAAGTTTCATTATAGACCGTCTTAGTTAGGAATATTTTCTTCTCTTTAGACTCTGATTTTTTATGTTTTTGCATTTTATTGATTTCCCATTGGTTAAATCCTTTACCTTTAAGAATGGTGTTTATTACTTTGTATTGATTTTCGAGCTCCTTTCTGGTTGTAGTATGCATCCTTGCAGTGTTGAAGTAACTAAGGCCAGCCATTCTTTTATATCGGGATGAGTATTAGAGTTTGGGGGAATTATATTATATTTGTTGTTAGATTTTCTCAGGACAGTAGTAAAAGGTTTATTGCTATTTGGGTTATTGTATATTCGAATATTTAAAAATTTCCCGTGGATAATTTTCGATTCCATGTTGAATTTTATGCTGGCTGGGTATCCGTTTCCTATTATTTTAACTACATTGAACATATCTTTTCTGTTTCCACTAATATGAATTGAGACGTCGTCTCTGAATCTTAGGAATCTGAATACGTTTTTTAACAAATTATTCCTAGCAAGTTTTGTAAACATTTTAATTTCATAAATAGCTAGAATTATCTCGCTACCACGAGCTGCGGAACAATCTCCCATTGAAAATCCTTTAAGGGTTCTGAAAATCCCTAATGGCTCTTTAAAATATGAGTGCTTCATAATACATTTAATTAATAACCTAATATATGAGATAGATGATTCATGGAGTCTGGCATATCTGCATCCTTCTGATACACATTCTATTAACAGTTCTTCATTGCAGTTTGAATATAGGTCACTGAAGTCTCCCTCTAGCTCTATGGATCTGCCCCATTCTCCAGTTTTGGTTTGTTTAATCCTGTCTATGGCTTCCTTGACTCCAGTAACTGAAGGAGAATTAATTCCGAATAGATTTTGGAACTTTTCTTGGATGTAAAATAGTAAATGGTTAAAGACTTTGTCTAGAATTTTTTGAACAATTTTGATTGGATCTTTCATTGAACTTTTTATCCGGCGTGAAGTAAGGTGTGTTATGTTTTCATGATTAATAGTTTTCAATTTTAAGACTTTAGGTTGGAGTCTTAGAACACCTATTTCGGAGTTTCCCTCTTTCCATGCAAAGTCGGATTTCAGGATTATTTTACTTAGTTCAGGAGGTATATTCCTCTGGGCTTCAGAAAGAAATAGAGTAATATTGTTCAAATACCATTTCTCCGTTATTTTTACGAGTCCAAAATGTTGCTGACAGTTTATTTTTTCATATTGATCTAACAAGTCTTTCATGTAGATACAAGCGTATCCTACATTTTTGTCTGCTTCAATGAGAATTTTATCTAGACCTAATGAAAATGTTCTTTCAAAATTTTCATGTTTTTGTGTTGACCTTTTAACTTTTAATTTTAATTCATGCTTGAATTGTTTCCTAATTTTATTATATGTGGTTTCAAAGGTGAAAAGATTGTTACGGACTATAGGTTTGTTTTTAACAAGGGAACTTTTCCTTAGGCTTCTTAATCCTTTATTTAAATGATTAGTTTGCCATGAAAACTTAATGTTATATTCATGTTTAAGAAAATTTTTAAACAAAGATCCAATCTCATTTTCAAAAGATTCTAGTTCTTGCTTAGTATTAAAATTGACGTAGGGGGTAAATTTTCTTCCAAGATCTAATTTATTTGTTAAATCATGAGACAGTTTTTCATTTGTGAGATTAAAGAAACAATCCCCTTTTAGTGATTCCTGTATTTCCTTGATTTCTTGTTTGACAAAGTTCCCTAGATGGATTTCGAGATCTTTGAAAAGTATTACTGCTATTTTTTGCTGTAAGGTATCCGTTATATTTTTAAGATTATATTTGATTAATTTAGAATCGGTGTTTCCTAATTTTTCCAAAAGTTTGGTTTTGAAATCAAGGGTTACGTTTTTTTCCGTAATTAAATCCATCCAGTTTTCTAAATCGATTAAGAAATTAGTTCCGGAGGATAATTTAAAACTATCTTCTCCTTCGTACAATCCAATGCAGGAGCATTGAGTGTTCGCAATTAAAGATTCAATTTCTTGGCCTAGTATTTGAACGACACGTTTTGTTACCTTCGAAACTGAATTTAGCCCAAGTAGGGTTAGGATCATTGTTGTTACCTGGTTCATAATGTCTGAAAAAATTAGAACCACGATTATAAAATGTATTTTATTTTCGAGATAAATGACATTATGTTGAGATCGATTTATATTTTCAACATTTAAATTTATTATTCTCTTTACAGCATATTTAAATTGGTTGGTGCCGAACTAAAGGATATGGATATAGCAATATGAATCTGTATTAATTGAGTTTAATGATAAAAGGATTTTAGATTCAAAAAATGGATATTTAGTATTGTTGATTGGATTCTAATGGATATAACAGATGTGAACAAAAGGGATTTTAAGATATAAGTTTTTTAAAAACTCTTGAAGAACAATTTTCCAAAAAATAAAAGTATATTTAAAAATAAAAACAGAATAGGAGGATGTAATTGTATCAAACATTGTTTCAATTCAAATGGATTTAGGAACATTCTTGAATATTTACGATCCTACAACTTATTGATCAGTGGACCAAAATTGTTTCATTATGGAATTAAAATTACAATTTTGAAAAAACAAAATTCTCAGGATGCAGTATAATTTAGAGAAGAAACTATCTCCTGAACAAAGTTTACTTATGAAATATTCTCAGTTTAATCCGAATTAGAGCTAGAAGTAGAAATTGAAATTCTCTTTGATCTACGACTAGTGTTAGAGCCTGTAGAAGAGTCTCTATCTGTTGTGATTGTCGGATTCCGTCGTTTTCTGGTAGAGCGTTGTTCAGTTGAGCAGGTTGTGGATTCTTGGGCACTTGTTGAGGTGTTAGATCCTAATGGAGATGTGCTAAGTTGGAGTTTATCATCACTCACATTCAAAAACCTGTGGATCTTCGGTTGACTTGGATCACCTGTAAACTCTTTCTTCTGTTGTGAAGAAAGTTCCTTTTTCCGTGGAACTGGTTTGCGGTTGGTCACTTGAGAGAACTTCTCTGAGAATTTTTCCATTTCCTCTCCAGGGGTATCTTCTGGGTTAACATATTTCCGTGTGACAATAACAGGAGCGAAATTCCTTGATTTTGGTTGAATCTTGACGCACCAATCGGATGTTGTTTCTATTTTGTTAGAATTTTTCGGGAAGACCTCATACGACCAGAATACCATGTATTTATCTTCAACAATAAGTTTGGACAGATTATTGATTTCTTCTTCTGTTCCAAAGGACCATACCTGCACTGACTCTCCATTTCGTCCAACAGAAAATACAATGTTGTATCCAATCTTCTCTTTGCTATTTAGTCTAGGTCCGCTTGATTCTAAAATTTGTCCGTAGAAAGCTCTTTTGGAGTGTTTACCTATATTACCGACCTCTATGGGCTCAACTGGTTCACCTTGTCTTCTGGTTTCTTTTTCTAGGAATCTGGAAGGCCACAGGAATTGTTTTTTAAAAAGCTTTTGAAATGAATCTGTAAAATTAGGGTTACGTGAACTACCTTCTCCGAGATCTTCATAGTCTTCACGATTCCTAGATCTCCCAGTTTCATCATTAGAATCATTAGGAGTATCTTCCTTTTCCTTTTCCCTTGAGACCAGGGCAACCTCTGTTTCGTGTTCTTCATACTTATCCGGAGTAAAGGTAATCTCTTTCCTTGTTCCTCTGTTCTTTGCTCCTACACCCCCGTTTTTTGACTCCTTTATCGGTGGTGTTATCGCTCTTGAATCGTTAACAATTGGTAGTTCTTGATCTTCATTACCGTTTTCTGGATATAAGAATTGTTTAATTCTATTGGTGTCGACCTTGAATCCTCCAAAGAAATTGACATAACCATTTTGAACGAGATGGAGTGCATTTTGTTGGCATATGATGTGCTCATTCCAAACCTGATTCTCAGAAAATTAACGCCTGGTTCTAATCCTGGTTGGGTAGATTTGTATTCTTCTTTCAGTACAGAGTTTAGAACTCTTCTCAGCATCAGACCAAAAGCAAAGTTTGAGTGGTCTTTCTGTCTCTTATTTTCCTTTTCTATGAACTCTTTTACATTATCGCTTGTGCACTGGATGCTTTTCTTCTTGGCGCATGTTCCACAGATGTGTTTAACTTCAATATCTGATACACCATAGCATTCAGCATGTGAAAATCTTTTACATTCCAAGCAAACAATCATCCCATTTTCGTATGATTGAAATGAGCAAACACAATAGATGGCTCCCTCTTTCGTTTTACCCTCTTTCCTCTTTGGTTTACTTGCTTTATCATGGATAGATTGTGTGGACTCTTCGCTAATGCATTCTTCTTCTGAATGGATTTTCGAGGTTTTACCATTAATTGGTTCCTTGATCTCTTCTAAATCTTGGGAGTATTGTTTCTCTTTGGACAATGGGGTGATTGTCTTCCTGATATCTACGTCGCAGTGCGAATAATCTTGAAAATCTGTAAATAACAAGAGTCTGTGTTGAACTGTTTATATTTAGATATGAAAAGGTACAGGTAAACACGTTGACCGCAACTAGGGTCAAGGAACTCAGTGCGAATAATCTTGAGTCCTAAAATTTATATAGATGGTTAAGGTTTCCAAAACAACATCATATTCTTCTCTCTTCAGCTAAGGCTGGGGCAATTTTTCTAATAACCTTGTATGGCCCCGAATAGTACAATCTTAACTTAACACAACTCCCAGGTATCAATTTTGGGTCAAAGAGCCAAACCCATTCCCCAATCTCAAAATTAGATAACATAGGTTTGTAATATTGAGCATTTCTCCTTACCAATTCTTGCTGTTTCTCTCTCACATGCCAGCATAAGCAGTCTGAAACCTTTCTTGCATTGTCTCTGTCCATGCTGATAATTCCATTTCTCTGTCTGCCTTAGATACTGGATATGCCCAGTGTACCAGAAGTGTAGCTTCACATCCAAATATAATAAAAATGGAGTCTGTCCTGTACTTGCATGAACTGTTGTGTCAGAGGCCAAACAGGCCACCTTCACTCCCAGATCCCATTCATTCTGCATCTCCCTGCCCATTGTATGCAAAATTCTCACTATTGTTCTATGCCATTGCTCAATAATATTAGAGGAGGGGTTATATGGCGGGGTCTTAGTATGCAAATCTTCAATTCCACAAATAACTCTTGTCATAATTGATTGACAAATTCACCGCCATTATCCAAATGGATTTGGTTTGGCAGTCCGAAAACACTGAAATGTTTATGCATTATCACTCTTGCTTTGGTTCCTGCCCCTAATACAAATAGGATATGCACTGGCAAATCGTGTAAATCCATCTTGTACTGTTAACAAATAATGATTTTTTCTTACTGTTTCTGATAACGTTACAAGATCAATGAACACCTTCTCCCCTACATTTCCCACAGTACTAGGCACATGAGGACCCATCTTTGCTTTGATGCTCCTCTCCTTAGTCAGACAAACATCACAACGTTCTACCAATCTACAAATCTTTTCATGTGCTGAAACTACAAAAAACATCCTCTGGAATGTCTAAAGTTCTGTTTACTCCTCTGTGTCTGGCTGTAACACCCTCATGACAAAGTTGAAACTTCCTTTAATTTCATTTCCGGTATGCATATCCTCAATGCATCATAAGGTTTGTCTGCATCTGTGTGTCTGTTGTAACATAGAAAACCATTATGTATCTTGAATAACATAGGATTGAATATCTGTCTCACTGTTAACACTTCCTGTATATATCCTCTTACTTCCAATAACTTAGGAGTTCTTCCTTCTAGAATCAACTTAATCACTTCCTTCCAGACTTCATTAGTCTCTTGTAACTTCCTTGATTCGTTTCCATCTAGTATTTCATGCCCGGTTTCAGGGCTCATACTATGCACCGCCAGTGAATTTCTGGCAAACTTCTACCTTTCTTTAGCTATCTTATCTGGGTCTCCATCCATCTCTGATGCATATGATAACTTGAGTTCCTCTACTTCATTATAAATCTGCCATATCCTGTAAGGGAGCCCTTAGGTCTGTGTTGTAGGTCCTCAGGTTGACCAGCTGATGATGATCTGATACTGCCTTAATTTCACTCTCGTGTTGTAAATCTTTCGGAAAAAAAGGCATGTTTTCTTCATTTCTGTGTTATACAACCCCATAATCATAGCATTCTTTAACTCTAAAAGGCTCCTTTTATCTGGTGCATATGCATGGACCCATAACCTCATCTTGTCCATGTAATATTTCCTGGGATCTTCAAGTCTTCCCTGTTTCCTGGTTACATATTACTGTTTCCTGCCTTCCTCATCTTTCCCTTAAGAAAACTTCTTTAGCAGTTCCATGAAGAATTCTCCTAATTCATAATTTACAAATGCTAAACCAGAAGCATCAACAGCACTACCTCTTGCCTGGCTGACCCGTGATGCATGACAACAGCATCTTTTTCATTTTATCATTTGGGATTGTTTCCCAATCATGAGTATCCATGTGTCTCCAGTTTCTCACACCATTTGAACACTGTTTCTGGATTTCCATCATATTTGGGGCGGACTGTGTGAAATATAAAAGTCTCTTCTTATATCCAGCTGCATCCCTACTCCTGTCTGCACACATCTGTAGTATACCCCTTCTGGCTATAATTTCCTCTTGCAGGGTTTGCAAGTATTTCTGTGTCTCATCCATCAACTTCGCCTGCTCCAGCATTGCTTTCACTCTTACAATTGGGGTGTGCATTTTCGGTGTAGTGTTGTTCTCCCATGTCTGCACATACCCCTTATCTTCTTCCTTTTTTTTCATTGCTTGTAGTTCCTTCTGTGTTGCTTCCATTTCCACATCTCTGTTCCACACAGCAACCTCCATTTGCTCTATTTTCCTCATCATCACTTCTAAGTGGTTCCATTCCGCCTTATCAGGTTCTATATTCAAGTCGTCACTTAGTAGTGTAGGGTATATTATGAACTGTTCCACTGTATCACTTGTAGCAGCACTGCTTTGCTGATGTTCTGTAAGTCTCAATTCCCCTTCCGGTATATTTTCCCTTGCTAGTGCTTCCCTTGCTATACTGCTCAAAAATGATTTCATCATACTATTCTTTCTGAACTTTGGGTTTCTGGCATTTAGATTGGTTTAATAGGTTTCACTGCTTGCCACCACTTTTGTAGAAAAATGCCTAACTACACTTTATACTTCATCAGCCTTAATATACTGCTTCAATCTATTACAAACTCTATCCTCTCTACCTATACAGTTTTTTTACAATCTGTAAATAACAAGAGTCTGTGTTGAACTGTTTATATTTAGATATGAAAAGGTACATGTAAACAGCTTGACCGCAACTAGGGTCAAGGAACTAAATAATGTATATTTACGGGTGACAAAGATATAAATGAAATACGGTTATACATTACACTATAATAACATATTAGATATCTTGTTATAGTTTAACCACTCACAGTTTGAAAAACAATATATTTATTTGAATTGTTATAAAAATATATGTATCTCAAACTGATCATATTGTAAAATTGTGAGGCATAATTTATTAAACCAAATATGTCTTTAAAAAAATTACTTTTCTGTCTATGATATCAATACCTTCTAATGAAAATTCTTCTTTACCTATGAAATTATCTGTCTAAAAAATCTGCTCATTCCATGAAATGTTTCTTAAAAACTTCAACTTTTCTTCTCAAACAATATCATTTAAAAACCCCCTCCTGTATCCTAATACTTACCAGTTCCAAAATATCTGCATTGCTGGATCTAGGAGGGATTGGCAGCTCGAACTGTATTTATGTTCTTTCAGCTTTTTCAGCTGAACATCAGATAATATCCGAACTGGATTTATCATGGCGAAATTTAAGCTCTGAAAAAATATTTTCTTTTTCTTCAGAATATGAATTAAAAACAATTTAATGGCCAAAACAATATTAACAAGAAAACCTCTTAATAATTGGTAAAAATCAATCAAAAACATGATAAAGCAAAAATAAGGGTTTCAACTTTAAATTAGCAATCTCAAGGTTTTGTAATTTATATCGCGTGGTTAGGTAAGAGATTCTATCTAAAGATAACGCTTTACACTTGATACAAATTTTATAAAACTTTACTTTTATTTTTATCATAAACTATATACTATACACAAATACTTAATTCCCCCTACTCTCAATTTTGTGCATAGCTGGACATAAACAAAATGTATATGAGGGAGGGGGAGGGCCAAATATCGTTCTCTTTGACAGACCCGCCTACACAATCAATGTAATTTTTTATTTCCAATCCGATTCAGGGGAGAAAAAAAGATAGCTGTCAGATAAAAAAGTTCTTAAGGTTCAAAGTTCAACAAAATTTGAAATTTCAATAAAAAATAAAAATAAAAAACTTGGTTAAGATTATAAAAAACTCTACTAAAAAAATTAATTTTGAAGAAGTTGGGCTCTTCAAAAGATTGGAAATTGAAAAATATTTAAATATTTTTGCAAAGATATCTCCTCGATCCTCTAATAAATCAAATTATCTCAGAAACGATAATACGACGATACTAAACCATATAAGATTCTAAAACTAGAGAACATTTCATTTAAAATGGTAAATGCCACAAGTTTGCCCAATTATCAGAAATCACCATTACTACGATAATGCGATAAAAGTATGATTTTGATATCAAAATATTTCCCCCAAAAATCGTAATTCTTAATTTTTTTTTCAAAAATAAAAAATTCATGATACAAATTTTATTTTTGCAATTTTGAAGATTTAAAACTTAAAACCAAAAGTTTAACTCTGATTCGAAATTGCCAAAATTACGAAAAAAGTAGGATTTTGCCCGGCCCCCTTGCCTGTCCTAACCACAGTGCTCGGCCCCTAGCCTGTCCTAACCACGGCGCTCGGCCCCCTAGCCTATCCTAACTGCAGCGCTCGGTCCAGAAATTGTCTTAACCTACCCTAACCCTAATAATAATAACAAATAAACGTACATAATTGAAAGGAGGGGGGGGGGGTCAAAAATAGTTAACTAGGACGCAGCGCTCGGCCCCCTGACCTGTCCTAGCCGTAGCGATCGGCCCAGAAATTGTCTTAACCTAACCTAACCCTTAATAGTACAAAATAAATGATGATAATTTTGAAAATTAGTCATGTACAAAATTAAAAAGAGGGGGTCTAGAAATCGTTCTCTAGGACAGATTAGAGTGATTGCTCAATCAACAAAATTTCCCCTTCCCCCCATGCATGTGGAAACTTAAAGGCTAATATTAGCGCAGTTTCTTTCATATCGTTGTACGTGTACCAGAATGTATTGAATGTATTATTGAGATGCTGCGGGCTGCGCAAAAATATCTAGGCCGCGTAGACTGACAGTGTTATCAAATACACGGAGAGTACAAAACAAAATATTTGGTTTGGCTCAACATGTGCGTAAATTTCAAAATTAAGCAACTACAGAACTATCAATTAATTGATGTTGATTCTATTACATAAATTTGGATTACGCAGCAATTAATTAAAGAATAGTTGAAAATATTTTTAAATATTTTATAATCATTTTTTAGAATCTTTCAACTAGGCAGATTGAATTCAGGATTATTTTAATTTAACAGAAACTAATGAACGGATATTATGTCAATGAAAGGAGTTTTCAACCCAGAGGTAATTTTTATTATGTTTAGAAATGAGTAAGGTGCAATTTGATTTTACTAGCCACCAATTTTAATTCATGTTTTTTTTTAATTTAAAGGTAAATTTTCCCCAAATGTCATAACTTTTTGATAGTTGATATTTTTTCTTTTTAACCCTATAATTACAAGAAAGCTTTGAGGCCGAAACGAATTAAGACTTAAACATATTATTCCTATCTATTCTTTCTAAAAAACTACAGAACTATATTATTAGACTAATTGTTTTGAAACAGGTTGATTTTTGTCCTAGCTGTGGAGGTCTGCTTCCTAACCTAAAGGTAATTATCTAAATAAATATTATAATTGTTTCTAGTCTGCGACATAAATTACAGTTAAACCTTAAATAATTGTTTAAAAGAACCTGTAAAACAAATTCAGGCGAATTTAAGAAGATTATGTGTCAAAAGAACGTCTGATTTATTTTTTACCATAGTCTTAACTTCCAAATTTCCAATTATAAATATATTTGTTTCAGCCCCAAGGAGATATATCTTGTGTGGTGTGTACACTGAAAATTACAGGAGACGAGTTTAAATCAACGGTAAGATAGATATAGGTGAGATGTGAGTAGGGGCGTTGGGGCCTAAAAAACCCTCTGAAATCCATAGATTTCACTGAGCCCCCATAGCCCTACCCCTGAATTCGCCTCTGATGGTGAGGGAGGTATTTTAAGGGAGAATATTCTTTTAATATATTATCATTCACCATATTCTGCTACTAGACGACCAAGTACACTGTCTCTTTCAACAAGCTGAAGATTCCGAAGAAGAAGCAGGAGGAGGCTGAAGGTCCTGTATTGGAACGAACCTGCCCGAAATGCTCGAATAACGAAATGTCATTTGCTACTCTACAGCTCAGGTTAAACAGTATTCGCAGTTCAAGAATTCTTCATAAAAATGATATTTTAATTTTATATGAGATTTTTCAGCAATTAAAAATTAACTATACAACCTGTGTGAAATTAAGTATTTGTCCCTCTAAGTTTTGTGAATGCGTAAATATCTTGTGGAAAAAATGTTTTCTTTATTTAAAAGATGAAAATTTCATTTTCAGATCGGCCGATGAAGGACAAACTGTATTTTTTACATGTACTAAATGTGGATACAAAGAAACTGAGAACTCCTAAAATCTCAACTTAATCTCTACAACCCTCAAAATGGAAAGTGAAAAATCTGATAAAAATGTCAAGTTGTGGATCGGAAACTTGGACACAAAACTTGACGAGTTCCAACTGTTAAAAATACTCGAACAATTTGGAAAAATTTCCTCTTTCGACTTTTTATATCATTTAAACGATCGTGGGATCCGAACCCCAAGGGGATATGCTTTTGTAACTTATGAGTTAGTAACCAGTGCAATGGAAGCCATTAACGTTCTCCACAACAAAAAGATCCTAACCAAGGTAACTTATCTAACTATGAATAAAATATATATACAGGGTGAGTCGAAAGAAGAGTGATTCTCAAATTTGGCATTTTTGCTTTATATTAAACCATTTAAAATCGACTACCACCAAAATCTATAAAATCATTTCAAAAATATTAAAAATTTAAACTGCAAATATAAAATTATTAGTATGACTCTAATCAATTTTTTTTGAATGGGTTTGTACAAAAAGCCGCCGACAAAAAACGAAACCACTTTATCATTAAATACCTTATATAATGTTAAAGGTATTACTATTCACTTAGTTTTTTAAAAAATCTTTTTATACAAAGTTCAAGTGTACTATTGTCAGTTATTAAAATCGCGAGTTTTGATACCCGGTTTTATAGTAATTACGCTAAAAATGGAGCTACCAACGCGTTTTTGGGTACAAATATTTACAGAGTTATGTACTTGATGTGTGAATAAATTTTAAAATTAATGAAAACTTTAATAGAAAATATGTTATTTAAATGCTATAAGGGTTTCGTTATTTTTGTTACTCCACCAAAGCATTTAATAATAATACATTTAAAAAATGATTCTAAAAGTTAGTCTCTAAATTTAACATTTTTAACGACATTGCCTAATTACGACTCAAAAACTTTATTGTCCCGGCTGTCCACGTCCTGTCTGGACTCTAGGCGTTAATGTTCTAATATATTGTAAATTATGAGAAGTTAAGTTTGTTAATTTTTGAATTTTTAACATATTGATGTGTAGGCCATATGAAATATAAAACTGTATATGTACTAGCTACCTTGTTATAATCTGTCCAAATATTGTCATCAAAACAAACAACTTAAAGATTGATTTGAGTTATGAAATTTTGAGATTGGGAAGACTAATCTTTTGTCGGCTTGATTCGACATAATTTAAATTCCGCCTAAACCTACCTTGAACTGCAGTTAAATAAGAATACATGATCTATGTTAAAGGAGCTGGTGGTTAGATACGCTAAACCTAAATCAGATCCTTCTTCTCGAGTTCAGAAACCTATCCCAGCAGCACTCAAGGCAGGCAGCAGCAAGAAACTGTCAGAGGTATGTACATTGTACCCCTACCATAAATGTTATACGTAATTGTTTAAAGGGAACTGCTTAAGAGACCCTCCATTTATAGGTTGGCATGTCCAATACACAACGGTATCGTTTTTACCTTTGTCTGGTCAAGGATGCAAAATATATCCTGGGTTGTCTTGCCAAAATTTATTATTTTTAACTGTGAGAAAACGAAGAACAATTCATCATTGTTATGATAGAGAATTCTGTAAAGGAGACCAATGTGCATCGAATATGCCATTGTATAAATGGATGGTTACTTATAATTACATCTACAGTCCTTCTTAGATTTACAATGCTGGAAAATGTTTGTTTAACTCCTTCAGAGGAATAGTTTAAAGACTAATTCAAATTTACAACCCACCTTACATTTTTTTTACAGATCAAACGATCTAAAGTAATAAAAGATAACTTCTGTTTTTAGTTTTCTGCGCTTTGGAACGAAATGCATGATTTTTTAAAACTTTTTTTGTGGGGGTAGGGAAGATTTGTTAGAATTCGACCTTTTCTTACGATGAATGTATACTTAGTTTTGTGAATATTTTAACAAAGGTACTTCTAGTCGTCTCAGTCATGTACATTTTTTTTTAAAGTTTGCTATTCGGATCAGCTTTTGTCGATCATATGATGGATGTCATTTGCTTGATCCTGGAGCTCATTTACATTCTATATCAAAGCCAAAATAACTTTGCTGTTGAGTCAAACTCTATCTATTTAAACGTATTCTAGAGGTTTGGTAACCTCAATAAGACTAAATCTTAATTGTAGCAAGGAACCTTTAGGATTTTATATGTATATCTACATCTGAGGAAACAATTTCGTCATTTTAAAATCTTGCATTTGGTTTGAATTTAAAAAAATGTCAACTTTTCTGGGTTATTCCTGTTTTTTCCTGTCTCGTTCTTCTCCATCACTTTCCACTAATCTCACATCTAGACTTGACTGGATCATGTCAAGGTTTAGGCCCATCTTTAGTGTGTATTGAGCACCCAGTTTTCTTTTTCGTTGGTGAGCATTTTAAAAACAACCTCAGGAAAAGGCTGCACACATGGAAATAAAAGATTTAATGAATATACTCAGTTCAGAGAAGTCAACTGGATTAAGGGCTGACGTCTAGAAGTACATCTTGAAAAGTCGCTAAACTTAGTATCCACATCTTGTATATATTTTAAAATAAAAGATTTAATGAATATACTCAGTTCAGAGAAGTCAACTGGATTAAGGGCTGACGTCTAGAAGTACATCTTGAAAAGTCGCTAAACTTAGTATCCACATCTCGTATATATTTTAAGGATGAGAGGGATAGAAAGATAAAGGAACTGGAGAAAAAGTTGAAGAAAATGGAAAACTCTCAGGAACGTTAAAATTTATTATGATAATTTGTTTATTTTCGTCAGTTGCCTTTAGAAATAGATTAATTCAAAATCAAATTTTTACTTACAAAAATGTAATGGTGAATTAATAAGTTTTAACGTGAAACAGGAAGAAGATTTGAAGATTCAGCCGTGTTCCCGCCATAAACCATATTGATTAATGTCACAACCACAACCTCTATCTGCCTTAATCAGAATCAAAACACGCCAAATCTAAGTAGGCATTGGGATACACAAAATATATCGAAGAGAAGGAATATACGCCTTTTTCAATCTAACTTTCTTTTCAGATAGTTGCCATATATCTTTTCTTAGTTTTGATATGACCCTTATTTTTTAAACATATTTTTTTCAGAACTACGATGTTATGGGTTCAGTTGATGTAACTCTCAGATTGGGTAAGATATTCCGCGTTTTTTTAGCATTCATTAAAACCAGCAAAAATAATCATAATTCATTCAGGAGCAAATCTCTTGAAAATCATACCCTTGATTTGTTTTACACTTAAATTCAGTAATTGTAATAAATACAAGAAAAGTTTAGTGAACGATCGTCGATCATACCATACCATTACATGGTACTGTACCATTACTAAATACTGAAAAATTCATTCTATAAACTGGGTCTTTATAGAAATGAAAGTTAAAAAATAATTGTATTCAGTAGTCAGAGAATATTCTGCATCTTTAAAACCAAAAATTTGTTTCTATCATAAAATAAGCAGAACGCCACTTGAGGAATTTTTCGTAAAAAAGAAAGATAGTAATTACCCTCTGATAAGAAAAAGAAATAAAAGTTAAGCATAACCAAATCTAAATAAAACTAATTTTAGATTTAGAGAACTTGAGTTCTGATATAGTGTACAGTGCTAGTATAATAGAAGATCATATTATTTACGCCCTTAAGATATTGTTTGGAGAAGTTGGAGCTGCTTTGCCATTTCAGGTAGTTTTATTTTTACTTCTTTTCTTTATTTTTTTTTACAAATTTAGTCAGCAAGAGAAATGTCAGGTGTTTGTTTTGCTCTTTCAGAAGTCGTAATACGTGAAAGTAAAATGTAAATAAATCTTATCCCCCTCTAATTTATTTTCATCTCATTGATCGTAACAGCCTTTATCAATCGAGGGAGGGAACCCCCGGACGCCATGAGCCTCCAATATGCAGACACGAGCCTCCCAGAGTTGCTAGGAAGACCAAGCCTCCGCTTTGCAGAAATGCGCATGCGCAACACATCAAAATGTGCCTGTGTAATACAGGAGGTTTTTTTTAAACTTGTGTTTTAAGTTTGAATAAAAGATTTTTTTGAAATTTTTAGACATAGTGGCATGAGAGGCTTCTCAAAGATGAGAAATATTTATTAATTATCATAAATAGTGCCTAATTATGACTAATAAAGTGATATCTAAAACTTTAAACATTTTTTACACGAAAAGGAAAATATTTAGAAAAAAAATTTGAATTGAATTTCATGAGTCCTTATATGTTTCTAATCATGACAATCAATGAACAACTCTAATCTTTAGTAAAATTCTTATGCCACTACGTCAAAAAAAAATTGTTAAAAGTTTTCATCACTCATAAGAACCAAGATTTAAAAAAGCTGTGCTGTATTGTGGAGGCTCGTTTACTGCATAGCGGAGGCACGGTCTGCATAGCGTAGGCTTTGTCTGCATAGTGGAGGCTCGGTCTGCCTAGGGAATCTGGAGGCTCGATGTCTGCATAGCAGAGGCTCATGGCGTCCGGGGTTCCCTCCCTAATCAATCTAGGGTATTGTCATGTATTGTATGTATTTTAAATTATCTATCTACAAAAGTTACAGACATCAAACAGTGACGCTAGTTTGAGAATCCTGTGGGGTTTTCTAGTAAATGATTAAACCTAAAAAATTGATTTTTGATAAATTGATAAAAGTGAGCGAAGAAATGTATTTGTATTCGTAATACTATTTAAAAGGTAAAACAAAACCTTGCAGACGAAGGGGTACTCAAGCTTTCACTATATAGTTTATATGCACACGTAGTAAAAATTCTTTTTTAGATTGACTTTTTTTGTGCTATGGTGACAAACATTTATAAAAAAAAATAATACATTTGGTGTTTAGAAATGCATTAAGTTACGTTTTTTAACGTTAGTTGTTTTAGGTTACAAGTGTGGATTCTGGTACCCGTGAAATCCACATCATTATCGACAAAATATATTTACAAAAATTCAGGTTATTATTTGTTATTAATCTTAATTATTTCATATAAAGGAACTCTAAGCATAATTTCAAGTGATCGTCCATTGAAAGAGTGGATCTAAGCATAATTTCAAGCAGTGTTTCGGATCCGTATCATTTTGATGCGGATCCGGATTCGGATCCGCGGATCCGCATCCGTGATGATGGATCCGGATCCTGACTCTGATACGGATCCGGATCCGGATCCGGATCCGAGGTAACTTTTGATTCTGTGAATCGGATTTTCCCTATAAAATGTTTTGCAAGGTTATAATTTATTAACTATATTTATTATATATTCCGAAATGTAACAAAAAAAATATAGACTTTTTGAAGTAATCCTTTGGACAGGCCGATCAATCACTTCTTGAAGAGATAGTCGCTGTTAGCCTTGAGCAGGAGAAGGGCGTCCAAATTTTCGTCATGTAAATAATACATTTACGAACCATTTTGATATATTTATTCCATGGTTTTGGTTAATTTTTGGCGCTACCCGGATCCATATCAACGTTTCCTGATACGGATCCGGATCCGACCAAATGATACGGATCCGACCGGATCCGGATCCGAAACACTGATTTCAAGTGACCTTCCATTGAAAGAGTGGATCTAAGCATAATTTCAAGTGACCATCCATTGAAAGAGTGGATCTAAGCATAATTTCAAGTGACCTTCAATTGAAAGAGTGGATCTAAGCATAATTTCAAGTGATCGTCCATTGAAAGAATGGATCTAAGCATAATTTCAAGTGACCATCCATTGAAAGAGTGGATCTAAGCAAAATGTCATGTGACATTCCATTGAAAGAGTGGATCTAAGCATAATTTCAAGTGACCTTCCATTGAAAGAGTGGATCTAAGCATAATTTCAAGTGACCTTCCATTGAAAGAGTGGATCTAAGCTTAATTTCAAGTGACCTTCCAGTGATAGAGTGGCATGACCGATTTAATTCAGTGTCATTATGTTTTAACTCTTATTATTGTTTTGATTTTATTTTATTCTTATTTGTTATTAGGAGTGCGCTGACTCTGCAGGACCAGTACCAAGGAGTATCTTGCTGTTTCACTACTCTTAAAATTCAACAACTAGATACAATTTAATCGATCAATCAAACTCAAACAAAACCTAAAAACAGAAGGAAAAAATGGCGCGTAACAGTGAAAAGGCAATGACAGCTCTGGCTAGGTAAGATTTTTCTACCCCAATTCTTGCACTTGAGGTCTGGGGTAATTTAAACGTTATTGAACTCACAATTTAGTGAATAGTTGGTAGGTTTAAAAACAAGGGTTTATATTTTTAAGATTTTTAATGTTTTTGAAGATCTTGGGGAAAAAAATGTAAAATTGGACTTTTTACCCAAAATCATTTATTTTCCCCAGTTCAGCGAATAAAGCCCTAAAAAGATACCTAACATGCCTAAATGCTTTTCAAAAGAGGGGAGAGGGGTTATAAGATATTCAAGAAAATATACACCCCTGTAATTTAAATGACCAAATGTCAAATATTGAGTTATGTTAGCCACCAGCCTTCCGGTTAATAGAACAATTTTCTGCAGCAAACAGCAAAAACAAGAGTCATATGGTTAATTATCTGGAAAGGGTCTAAAGAAAATAAAATGATATAAAAGGCTTTTAGCTTTAAGCAAAACTTCTTAAATTACAATATCCTGGTAGGTGGAGACGAGGGAAGGAGGAGGAGGAAGGAATTATCAGCAAGAAAAATGAAAAACGTCCATACCTCGCCACAGAGTGTGATAACCTTGGGGAAGCTGAACGATGGAGGGGACAGGTAAAACAATCCTATGGGTTATGAGGACTAAAGCATTAATTGCTTGATTGGTTTGACTATTGACATGCTCATTTGCTCGGATGATTGATTTCGGACGTTTTAAATATTTATTTTCATACCGATTGATTTGTTCACTCTTTAAATATTTATTTTCATACCGATTGATTTGTTCACTCTTTAAATAATTATTTTCATACCGATTGATTTGTTCACTCTTTAAATAGTTATTTTCATACCGATTGATTTGTTCACTCTTTAAATAATTGATTTTTCAAGATAATATATTATTATATATCCATTTTATTGATTGATTAATTAGTTCTTAATATGTTCTAGGTTATTCGTGAGATTTCCAAGAACGTGACAGCTATTCAGAACGCTGGTCTGGGAGAGTTCAGGATTAGAGATCTTAATGATCACATTAACAAACTTCTCAGGCAAAAATCAATCATAAACTCTGAAGAAATCATTAATTGTTGAGTTTTTTTTTGAGATATGGTAAATTTATTGACATACAGAAAGAAGGCAGAAAGAAGTTTTGTTTGATGCTAACTATTCATCTATTTTGATTTGGTTGATTTTGCTCAGGGAGAAAATGCATTGGGAAACAAGGATTCGAGAGTTGGGAGGGAAAAGCTATTCCTCGAAGGGAGCACGAATGTTGGATAGGTATTATGTTTTTTGTTTGGTTTGGTCAAAAGCATTTGGATTTGGATCCTGGCACTGAAAAACAGCATATTGTTATACAGGGTTCCTCCCAGAGCAAATTTGGATCAGTGTACCTGACCCAACTGACCTGCCACTTTCAGACTTGAAAATTTTGGGCAAAAATCTGCCAATTTAGGGGGAAAAAATTGCCGATTTAGATAACTAATCTGCCATTTTTGGAGAAAAGCTATCAATTAACGCATAAATTCTGCCACAAACATAAAATTAATGCATAAAATTTATGAATGAGCCGTAAATCTGTCATAAACATAAACTTAATGCAAAAAATTTGCCACAAAAATTATGAATGAGCTTTAAATCTGCCACAAACATAATCCTAATGCATGAAATCTGCCACAAAAATCTGCCACAAACCTAAATGCATGAATTATGCCACAAAATTTACGAGTGAGCTTTAAATCAGCCTCAAACATAATTTTTATGCATGAAATCTGCCACAAAAATTATGTAAAAGCTTTATATCTGCCACAAACATCATCTTAATGCATGAAATCTGCCACAAAAATTATGAATGAGCTTTAAATCTGTCACAAACATAATCTTTCTGCATGAAATCTGCCACAAAAATAATGAATGAGCTAAAAAAAATAGCACAAAATAATATTAACACATAACAAATGCCCAAAGTTTTCACTGAAAGTATTTAGATGCATAAAATCTGCCACAAAAAATCATCAATAAGGGTAAAATCTGCTAAAAAATAATGTCAACACATAAAAAATTATATAGAAAGTTATACTCTGACACACCTCTAGTATCTAAAACCAAAAAAAATTGCCACAAATGCAATTGGAGCTTAGAAACTTAAATCCTAAATGCATATGATCTGTCACAGCCTTAAATATTTGAGGGGGGGGGGGGTCGGGGGATTTTTTTTTTTATTCCCCTCCCACCATCATGCAGCTGTAAAACCACGTGCTAATAGGTCGGATGTGTAGTATAGCGGATTTGGCGTATGTCAGAAGTTGATTATAGCGGATGTGCGTAGGTCGAAAGATACGTCATTAGTTCTGCTAAGGGTGAACGCACAAAAAAGTGTAAATCTGAGGCCTTTTCTGTCATTGGTTGAAATTATCGTCTGTAATTGGTTAAATTAAGCGTCACACATGTATTCCCTCTTTTAAAAAGCTAATCTGTGCACATACATACATGACTTCCAAAACAATTTTATACAAAAAAATAAAAACTCCAAAGATTCATGAAAAACAGTATTGAAAATCTTATGGGAGGGACCTGGTTATTGACCTTTTTACAGCACCAAAACGCTCTATTCTACTACCAAAAAGCTGCCAAAAAACCTGGGAGGAACCCTGAGTTATTAGCCAACTGCCAGAAATTGCGAACCCTCATCACAGAACTTCGTAAAGTAACAATTTTAGCTTTTGAATTTTGCTTTTCAAGTCATTCCACGGATAATCTGTTATCATTCATGGATTTTCTAAAAAATTATAAATCGACATTTTTTCTCGACAAAATTTCCAAGTTTGGATTCATTTAAAAACCTACAAAAAATTTTGTCTTGACCAATTCAGTCGTTTTGACATTTTTTAGATACAAACTAACCAACAGTTTAACAGACAAGCCAACAAAATATATAAATACTAGTCCAAAAATGTTGATCCGAGCTCTGGCTATAAGGAAAATATCTACCAATAGAAAGAAAATAATATTGTAGAGAAGGTAAAGAGGTACCAGGGAACCGTGGATACAAGTACTTCGGAGCTGCGAGAGATTTACCGGGAGTTAGAGAACTATTTGATACAGACGTTGCCCCGTCAGGGAAGAAAACAAGGGCAGAGTTAATGAAGGTTTGTGATATTTGAATATTTATCATTTTTGTGCTGTAAAACCTTAATTTAAATTCATACTTATTTCAATATTGAACTTAAGAATGATTAGGACCTAATAAATTATGTAAAATTGTTTGTTTTTGCAAATCTGTTGTGTGTGTTAGGATGTGGACGCTCAGTACTACGGATTCAGGGATGACGACGATGGACTTCTTGTGCCAATGGAGGTCGTTGCAGAAAAGGTATCATTATTCATTTAAAAAAAATAATTTCCAGGAATTTATTGGTTTATCATTTTACACGTTCTTTTATCCTCAGAGGTAGATTATTTGCAATAAAAAAATGTTTTTTCAATATAAAATTCTTTTTCTTGTTTAACAATATCTTATTAATATGGGCGTATTTTAAATTTGTAGAATGCGATTAATGCAGCCATCCAGGAGTACAAGGAAAAGAAAGGTATGGCCGAAGATGATGATGACGTTGACATTTACCTCAAAGACGACAAGGGCGAGGACGAGGCTCTCCAGGAGGCCATGGAGGCCGGGAAGGAAGGAAGGTTTATGGCTCATGTTCCTATTCCAACTCAAAGGGATATTGAGGAGGCGCTCCTTCGAAGAAAGAAGCAAGAGCTTCTGGAACTCCTGGCCATAGACGACACGTTGGAGGATATCGAGAAGGTTTGGCAATTTTTTTTGTATAGGGTGGCACTACTAATAATTAACCAAAATTGTAACCATTTTTTACTCAATTTATGACACGTTTCTTAACCAAAAATCTGAAGTTTCCAAGAAGAAGAATTTGACTTTAAACCATCTCAAGCATCCCTGTGAAGTTAGTTTTAAATAATTGGTTATATTTTAAGTAATAATATATCCATATTTGGTCTAAAAATGATTACATTTTTAGTCGATAAGGGGTAGAAAAATTTAGAAAAATGGTGACATATTTGATTTAAGAAATTGCTATATTTTCATTCGAATAGGGTTTTTTTTTAGACGAAAATGGTTAGAATTTTTTATAGAAATTGGTTAGAATTTTTTTTACCAAAATTGGTAAAACATTTGGTCGATGTGCTCATTTTTACCTATAGGAGACCAGGTAATAACTACAAACATAAGAGCGAGCATGAACTCTTTCTCTTCGGCTCACCTCAATTTGAACTGATTAAATCTTATGTATATATTTCAGGTAGGCAGTTTATACAGGACTCAACCGTGAACTGAAAACACAATAAATCAGTCCAGGGTTAATTATATGCATGACAATAATAAAATTTTAGCCTTTAAAATAAAACTTTCTCCAGGNATATAGATTTGAACACGTGATTAAATGTAGAAAACTGTGCATGTAGAGTTCCGTGTGATTGATCGATTGTTTGAAGATAATTCCTGGTTGAACACACTGAATAACATCTTGTCGCTGAACACCCTGAACACACATTAGTTTATAAAGATCCTCAGATCTTACAGTCGACAACGGTTATATTTTTGGTCTGTAATATTATTGTCAGTTATATTTTTGGTCGTTCTTCAGTGCTTATATTATTTTTGTTATAATCCCCCTCCCTCATTCTGATTAGAGGGAAAAAAAGGAAATTTTGGGCTAAAAGTGACAACGTCCTTTTTAATCCTTTTTCTTCAAGGAAACAAGGTTACAGAAAAAATTGGCTAATATGAAATTTAGGAATGTTGTAATTTTGCTTTTTAAATTAGCTGCACTTATTATAATCCACTGTTAAAAATAGTTTATTTTTAGGAAAGTGGTGTGGAGAAAAAAGAAATAAAACCTGAAGATGTTCCGGAGATAAAAGAGATTGTTAAACCTGCACATGTTGTCCTTCCAGACTTGGACACAGAGATGGGAGAGGTCAAACCACCGGGGGACGAATAAAAATATTTCCAAGACAAATAAATCTCGTATTTAATTAAATGAAGTAAACCCCCATTCTCATCGAAATTTTCAATGATCTTAAGAGATATAGGGTAAACATAATTCTATTCTCTCAGAAAACAAACTTTTTATTTCATCGCGTTTTTTAATTTCAGAAACATGGCATCTATAAAAGAGTTGATGAATGATTCTAAGTACACCAAAAAGTCTGATGAAATATTGGATGAGCTCTTCAACAAGATAAAGGTGATAAAATTAATATTTAATATCTTAGTGTTTGAAGTTTGAACTCCAGGGGCCAGTCAAATTAATCATTATTATTTCAAAATGATCCCAAATCTCACTCATCAAAATGTTACCCTTCCCCCTCCCCATATGTTGAAAAAGATAATTTCTCAGAAAACAATAAATTGTGAGAAAAAAATTATTTCAGGATGAAACGTCTGATTCTGACACTGAAGAAGAAGATGAAGAAGACGAAGAGAGTGAAGATGAAAGTGAGAAGGAGAGAAGAAAGCATAAAAAGAAAAAAAAGAAGCACAAGAAGGATAAAAAGAAGAAGAAGAAAAGATCCCGACGAAGTGAAAGTGAGGAAGAGGAAGAGCCCCGGATAAAGATAAAAAAGGAAGATGAAGGATTCTGGGGAGGAGCAAAACCTTATAAAACAGAAAAATCTGACCGGAGCAGAGATGATGATGACAGGTCAGAAATTTGCTACGACCTGTCTATTTTTTTTTTGGGGGGGGGGCGAGGAGAATTTATACTTAAATAATTTTTTATTTTAATTAAATTTTACAATATTTTTAAATTTCTATATGATATCAGATAGAAACATTTTAGTCTTCTACATTTCTTGTTTTTCATTAATTCTTCTTGATTGTCCATTCCTTGTCGATCCTTCAATCATACTTTGGCTAATTTTGGAAATAAAAATAAATGAATTTTTTGGATGATCCTGCAGCTAGTGAAATTGCAAGAGAAAGAACTATTTTTCCCAGCCCTGTATCTCAGACCTATTCTGAGGGAAGCAAGGTCACTACCCTTACCCCTTGTTTTATTTTCTATTTTGCTTGAGTCAGCTGTAACACATGTAGCTTTTGTAAGCTGCTTTTCTACACACTTCATGATATTTTCTTGATCCTATTAATTTTACTTGCGCACATGGATATATATATTTTTAATGAATATCCCCACCTTGCTATGGCCTTGCGGCTTACAGTAAGGAAGATGTTCCTATCTAGGCCCTTCTGAATTAGTGTTTACATTAAAAAAAATTTTTTTTTACACAATGTGATTGAAATAGGATACAAATCATATCAGTCTTATTGTATCTTTAAGGCGTGAAAGCGATTCAAAAAGAAAGGAAAAAGATCTAGAAAGGGATTCTGGCAGGGAGCGATATGATAGGTAATGAAGAAGTATGATAAAAAACGTTATCCATAACCAATAATATTTTTTCTATCTGTTGCGTCTATAAGGAGAAAATGGTACCCCCCCCCCCCACCGAAAAATGGAAATTCATTTGTTTTAATATTTAAAGATTCGGTTTAAAACTTAATTGAATTATTTACGATTTGAGTGGAATAATGCAACATTTATGTGAATTTACATGGGCTCTGCGCTCTTGGGTATTTATCATTTTCAACAACTAATCCGAATTTGATTCGGATTCGGCCTAACGAGGGGAGGAATGCCAGTCACAACAACCTATCGTCCGTGCCACATTCTCCTCAATTTCTTGTCCGAACCACCTTGAAATCCCCGTCCTTCGTTTATTATGTGTTGAAAAGTTTCTAATTCATGAAGATAAAAACTATTTAGAACAAATCTGGCCATGTTAGGGCATAAAACATAGATTGACTAAAGTATTGCAATGATTAAATCATTTTCGAATCCATAGAGACATGAGAATGATGTCAAAATTTATTTAGGTAAAACTTAAAACTCTTCTGCCTCTGTAATGGCCTACCGACGCGATATGAAATAAATAGCAAAATATTTGGCATACCTATGCCTATCATTTTCCCCATGGAACCACCCGGGAAAAATATATGGTTTTCACTAAAATTAAGAAAAAAGATTAAAGTTCTATAATCTTGTAATTATTTGCGGCATTTAACACCAGGAATATCTGAAAAGCGCGTAGAAAAGGTGAACATAGAACTCGAAAACTTCATTCAATTGAAACTAATTTTTCGATTTACAAAAATTCAATATTTCATTTATGCCCTAACGTTGCCCGATTCTTAAAAAATTGTTTTATCTTGGAGGACTAGACACTTAAAAAAAATATTAGAAGGGCGAAGATTTAGATGTGGCTCGAACGAGAAAATGAGGAGAATGTGGCTCAGACTAGAAATGGTTGTGGCTGGCCTTCCTCCCCTCGCCTAATCCTCCTTTCATTTTTCACGAACATTTCCTTGTTATATTAATACCTAATTAATTCTTTTTGTGAAAGTTTAAGTTGTAAACAATCATGCATAATACTTAATCTAGGTTTAAGCGGTCTGATGATTATGATAGTGAACGAAGACCGGTTGATCTTGGCAGGGTTGCCCGCCCATATCCAGATGACCGTAGTAGTAGAAATGGACATATCAGGTAGAATTAAAACCTATTTCTCTTTACAAGTTTAACATTAAAATTCAAAATTTCATTCGCTTCGTTCTTCTATCCACCATCTCTCCAACTGGCGAGGGACTAAAAATATTGGAAGGGGGGAGTTGAAAGTTATAAAAAATGAGTTTTTTTAGTTTAGTTTTATTTCTTATTTTGGTCAGGCTCATAGTTTAACCTTTAGGAGTTCCTACGATAGGGATAAGGGTCACAAAGAAGAGTATGATAAAGACAGGGACAGGAAAAAAGATCGGGACGCGGATGATCGAAGGCGAAAAGACGATCGAGATCACGGAGGAAGATCCCAGAGTCGATCAACCTACGACAGGTAGGAACAGAATCTTTAACTCAGTGCTTTTAATTCATTATTATTATTACTATTACTACTATTACTATTCATATTATTATTAATAATAATATTTTTATTACTTTTATTATTTTATCCCGTCAATTAAGGAAATAGGGGTAGACGCTCCTCGCCACCGCAGTGTATCCATTACATTTAAATACGACAAATCGCTAATGAATTATTTATTCTCAGAAAAACTTAAAACAAATGGAAATGGGATTTTAGGATAAATTGTTTGTTTTAGAGGCGGGATTCTATAAACATAGTTGCATACCAAAAAACAGCTTTTTATTTATCAGTTTCATTGTTTATGTTACAAAAGTAAAAAAGTTGGTTATTTTTTTGTGTATCCAGAATTAACATTTTGTTTTATGTTTTTTGTTGCTATTTTTCCACTTAAATTCTAAGCACTGGTTTTATTTTAAATCAACACCGTAGAAATCATTTTATGATTTGGATTTTATTGTTACGAAAAAAGAGAATCTTTTAGATCCGATAACAAACGGGACGAAAAGAAAAGAGATAAGAGCATGGACAAGGACAAGGAGGAAAAGGACGGATTTTGGGACACTAAATGGGACGCCATGAAGCTGGAAGAAAAAATTGAAAAAGGAGAAAAGAGAGGAAGATACTATCTAAACACAAAGAAACGATTTAAGGTAGGAAAAAAATATGATACGCATTTATTTTAAGACTAACTTTTTATTATTATTAGGATACCATAGATGGTAAAGAAGGCACACCCAGTTTAACCCCTAGTCCTGAGAGAACGGAGAAGAAGAAGAAAAAACATGAAGATTCCGAATCAGATACAGAGGAATATAAGAGGATGAAGAAAACTAAAGAGATCCAAGAATTAAAAGTTGATGGTGATGGGCTGGTCCAAGGAAAACTTGCAGATCCTTCAAACTTTGAGTATGACCCGGTAAAAACTCTTATTAAGTTTTACTCTTTTTTTTGTACGGCACCTTTTCTAAACAATTTATTTTCCTGATGTTTAAGGGGACGGGAATTATATACGTAACTTCAAGTATATTTAGGAGTATATATTTTCAAAAATTATATTCCCGGGGACAGAAAAAATAAAATTTAATATCAAATGGCAAGTTTCTGCAGTTTTTGATAATTTTTTACTGATTTGCACTAACCAAACCTAACATCTGGTGGAATATTATTTTTAAAATAGTGGAAGGGTGGGGGGCTGGTTTTAATATATAACTAGCTATAGCACTCAGAGTTACTCTGGTTTACTCGCACATATGTAAGAGCGAAGTTCTTTATTTTATGGATATATTACAAGACACACCCCTGCCTACATTTAGAGGATGGCGCATGTCCGATTCACTACGATACCCATTAAATGTTTTCCTGATCACGGATAATGGGATAGATTCCTTTTTATCCATTGGAAAATTGACTATTTTCAATTGTGGTTCTTTATAAAAGGTTCGTGCAAATTTTTGCGACAGAAACAATAGAGGAAATTGTCCGAATTCAACTCGAGATAGTAAAAAAATACGATAACTTCCTTAACTTTACTCTGACACAGGTTTGAAGGGTACCATTGTAAATCGGACATGTCACTCTTATTTTTATTATCTGGGTAAATTTAAATTACGTCTCAACAGTCTCTTTAATTTCAAAAAGATTATGAACGACTTTTTATCTTAAATATTCCCCCAGGTAACCAAGATGTACCGGAAGAAGCTTGGCATGGTAGAGCGCGAGGAGAAGAAGATGAAGGGAGAATCCTCTAGTTCTAGCAGTGAGGAGGAGGATGAGCACGTCAAGGAGCTGGAGGACCTAGACAAGGACGGAGAAAAGAAGGAGGAAAAAATTAAAATGAACGAAGATGGGTCAGAATCTGCCCTGGGTAATCTCCAAACTGAAGAAGAAAAACAGAAAGAGAAAGAAGAAAAGAAAAAGAAAAAGAAAGAAAATCTTCGTAAAAAAGCAGATGAAGATTCTGATTTAGAAGATGGTGAAGTAACAGAAGTAAAAAAGGAAGAAGGGGAGGTTGATTCAGATGAGGATAGAAGGAAAAAGAAGAAAAAGAAAAAACGTTCGAGGTCAAAATCCCGAAGACGTTCTTATAGCAGGGGTCGTGAGAGTAGAGGAAGAGAAAGTCGGGGTAGGGAAAGCCGTGGTCGAGAACCTCTAGATAAGAGATCAAGAGAGGCCTGGGGGTTAGAATCCAAGTCAAGTAGAAGATCCCGGAGTGGAGGTGGTCATGATGACCGTCTTAAGTCGCGCCGGTCACGTTCTCCATATGACAGAGTTAGAAGAACTAGGTGAGAAAATATTGCTAGAGCCCCACCACGAAATTTATTATAAAAATGTTTATTTTATAAAATACTTTTTTAGGGAAAACATGAAACAATCCATTTTTCTCACAACACTTCGAGACTCTCATTTCCTCTAATGTTAACTTCAAATTTTAATTTTGTTTCAGGTATGACAGGTCAAGGTCACGGGACAGAGAGAAGAGAAGAAGGGGAAGGTCCAGGTCCAGGTCCAGGTCCAGATCTAGATCTAGGTCAAGATCCAGGTCAAGGAAACGGGACGATAGTTGGGAACGAGAGCGGGAGGACAGATACGAAAGGAACAAGAGGAGACAAGAGAAACATATGCGTAGTAAGATCAACAAGGAAAGACTACTGGAGATAGCAAAGAAAAACGCAGCCAAAATTCTTAAAACTGGAGGAGACTTCATGGGTATCGATGAGGAGCGATTGATTGCTATGAAATCCGGTGGAACCTCACTAGACGAACTCACCAAGTTCTGTAAAGAATTGGCTAAGAAAGGTCTTGAGGACAAGGATAAAATAGATTTCCTGGCAGAGTCGGAGAGTGAATCAGACGAGGAGTTTAGGCATCCCTTCATGGTCAACGATAAACCTCTTCCTAACCCTATTACCATGTTGCTGGGTGCAGGTAATCATTAAAAACTTGCACACAACTTTATCTAGACTAATATTTGTTAAAAAACTTTTTTCCTTAAATTTTCAAAATCGTGATTAGGCGAGAAAAAGACGGAAGCGCTTCCTCCTGCGGCAAAGGCTGTTGCCAAATCTCAAAGAATGTTAGAGTTTCCAGTGTCCAGTGGTAATGCACATAGAACCAAGGTAAAATGATAAGTTTTGGTCACCCTATCTTTTCAGATTTTTACAAACTGCGTGAACTTTAATTTTTAAATTGATTGTTAGTTTTTAACTGGTTTGATTAGTTGATTGATCTAATTAGTAGATGGATGGTTTTATTTACCTATTTTAGACAAACCCCCACACCCGACCCACTCAGTTAAGATCTAGCGATAAAAATTATTCCATTGTTGTAAAATTGTTTTAATTTATTGATGTGTGTAGGTTGAAACTACAGGAGAGGATACCCTAGATACAAGCACAAGACTGGCACTAGAGATGAAGAAAGACGAAGAGGAAATGATCAAGTAAATTTTTTTATAGCATATTAGTACAATTTTTCTATATGAAATTTTAGTGCCGCGAAGAAAACATCACAGAGGCACAAAATGTAAGGATATCTCTGTCATTCTGGATCAGAAAAAAAGTTTCATTTGTGCTTCTGTGATTTGGCCATACCACTCAAAAATAGAGGGTCACTCGAAATCTATAAATAAGCCCTACATTTTAAAGGATAAGAACTAACATTTTTCAATGAAAACTTGGTTCCGAAATTATTTGTTAACATTATTAAGATTTCACGAGCAGATGGAAGCCGAGGAGAAAGAGCTCTCTAAACTGACCAAGATAGGTACAGAGATTATTCCCTGGAAACTGAATGATGAGGATCAGAACCTCGTGGTCCCCAACCCAGTGGGCAAGGATCTCTTCAGCGGAGATATTAAAGATCTACCTAAAGATAAGATCGAAGAGATTGAAAAACTCCGTCCTAAGCCTGTCTCCTTCCCGACCCCGGCTCTTCCTGCGCCGACAGAAAGACTTGCTCTCCCGGCCCCGAGTAAAATTGATCCGAAGATGTCAGCGGATCCGGACAAGGTTTTCGAGATCGCATCTGCACCAGTTATTGATATAGGATCTATTGTATCTAAACGTTTGACGGCACAGAGAAAGCTGCAGGCCAACCCTGATGTAAGTTTTAAGCTTGTATTTCTTAATTTTATTTTTATGGTCTTGATTGAGCTTGTTGAAAATAAGTTTTTTTAAATAAAAGAAAACTAATTTTTTTTTCATTCGTCTCTATGTTTTTAGGACAAAGAGGCTTTAAAGGAGATGTATGACGCCCAGAAACAAATGGAAGCTTGGGCCAGCTCCAAGAATAAGCCTGGCCAGTTCCTTGGTTCTACTGGAGCAAAGATTATGCAGAAACACGAGCTTAATAACGGTCTACACGCTTGGGCCAGAAAGGATCAGTTTGTCAATGCAGAAAGGGTAGGTTAACAAGGATTAACCAACTCTTATTTATGCACTTGTTGTATCCAGTGCCTTGTCCGTTAAATCAGCAACCTGCTAAAAATTTACTTTTTGTGTGATTTTCAAAAACTTCATAATCTCGTTGATTTAAAATTTCATTATAAAAAAACGACACATGTTCACATGACCTGTATCCGGATCGTAATCAGTTTTTTATTCAGACCGGATCCAGGAAATTGAAATTCATCTTTAGCACTGGCTATTGATATAAAATCGCATTTTTGCTTCCTTTACTGTTTGTGTTTGGAAATGGAAATATAATAAAAATATTTGAAAACCATCAAATTCAGGTCCGAGGAGGGTTTGGTGAATTCATGTTGAAGAAGATGGGATGGGAGGAGGGTGAGGGGCTAGGGAAGAACAAGCACGGTGAGGTTGATCCACTTACGCTGGACATCAAGTTTGATAAGAAGGGTTTAGCGGCTGCCGAGGAAGATAAACGGGGAGCTAACGTAAGTTTTAATCTCGAATTTAGTTAACAAATGAATTCCCGTTTTACTTAATGATTGTTCAAGAAAATAACTTTTTATGAAATTCAATAACAAAAATACGTAATTTTATACATTTGCAAGGGTGTGATAACACTGACCGGATGTAAAGATTTGACCGGAAAACATCCGGTCTCGGCTTTAACCGAGCTCTGCAGCAAGCGACGATGGGGTCCTCCTATATTTTCACAGGCATTTGACTGTGGTCCACCACACAAGAAGCAATATGTTTTTAAGGTAGAATTTACACTCATCTCTAAGGTTTCAAAAGTTATAAAACTGTTTTTCTACTATTGTGAAAGTGAACCGCTGTACCCTGAGCTCTAAAAGATTTTCTGAATAAATTAAAGTCATTAACTTATTATGCTGAATTTTATTTCCTGAATTTTAGAAGAAAAAAATCACTCTCCCCCTCCCTTGAAAAATATTCACCCCTGTATAAGTTCTTGTATAATATACTTTTAACATACTCAGAACTACGACCAACGTATTCCCATAATCTTGTGATTTTTAAAATGTGGTCTGTTCAAAATTATATATTTTTCTGATGAAAAAAATCCATATTAGATAAAAAGTTAAAAATACCTGTGAATTAGGTGACTGTGAATGGGAAAGACTACATGGCCAATGTAGCTGTTGATAACAAGAAGAAAGCAAAATCTAACGCTGCTATGGTCTGCCTTCAAACCATGGGATTGGTCCCGAAGGATCCCGACAATCCAGTTTAATCAGGATCCAATCTAATACGTTGGGATTCATGTTTTAGCCGCTTAGTATCTTCTAATCGTCGGCTCACTATCATGAAACGGTTAACGTCATTAGAATCTGGTTTAGAAAAGTCAAGAATTGAGATGAATGGAACTTGGAATTCAACAAGTTTTGATTTTCTGTCATCTCTCCCTCGGGCCCAATGTTCTTTAAAAATTCTCAAGGTTCAGAACTAATCATTGAATAGATAAAATTGTATTTTTTTTAAATCAAACTCTCGCACAGGTTTGTTTTAGCAGAAGATTTCCAAGTTCTTGTTGTAAACTGGAATAATGATTAGATTCAATTTTTTTCGTTGTTTGTTTATATTCTATTTTTTTTCATCGTTTGCAAAACCCTTAATAAAATGTAAACGTTAGATTTTCGGTTTTGTTCAATTGATTGTCGACTGCTTTGGTTTCAGGAAAGATAGCCGTGCTGCCTACTGGAGAGAACCCCATAAAATTGTCCAAACTTCTGAAAGGCTTAACATTTACTTACAATGAATACCAAAAAAAATATTTCCTGAGAAGCTGACGAATTTTTAGAATAACTATAAAAACTATTCTCAGCTCTTGGCTAGTTAAAATAATTTTGAAATAATTCTAGAATAGGTAAATTCGAGAATTTATCTAATGGAATTATTTCTCATTTTTTAAAAATTTTATGATTAACAATCTTTTTGAAAACTTGTAAATTCGAGGATTTACAAGTACTTAAAAGATTAAAATTTGAAGCTTTTCTTGATGATTTATTAAGTGAACCTTGTTTACATAACAAATCATCAATAGTAAATGTTAAACCAAAAGATTTAGCCAATTTTATATAATCTAACTAATTTCTAGACCAGTCAGGGTTTCTGAGCTACATGTACTGTTTACACTGTACAGTACATCGTTGAAGGGTAACATTGGACTAATTTTTCTTAGTTTAAAAAAATTAAGTTATTCATTGTATACATTTTACACCAAAAAAAAAGAGTTTGGACAAAAATTTAAGTTTAAACATAGCCAAAAACCTTAGTCTTTTTTCCTTCTTGCATTTTTAACTGTTACAAGTCTAATGTTGCCCCAGGAAGAAAAGAGTTCAGATCAATATCATACTTCCGGACAAGACGGTTAACATCATTTTTCCTCAGATAAAAACACACAAATTTTAGTTAGGTCATGCACTAAAAATTAAACGAATTTAATCTCAATAGTAAATAGTCAGTTAGTTTTTTATATTTATATCATTTCTTAACATAAAGAATAAGTACATATTAATAATAAAAAATTTAAAAAAATTAAATTTAGAGCTGTTTAATAAAAAAATTGACTTTGATCTAAATTAAACTATAATGAGCCCTGAGCATGCTTGCTATTAGGCCGGGAGCAGGTAAACTAGAAAGATTACAGACGGAAAAGATCTAACCAAATTTAGAAAGCAGTCGACAAACAATGTTCAAAATAATTTATCAGGATTTTGATCATTATGTTCGCACTTATTGATTGTTTCCAAAATAAAGGTTGGGAAGAAAATTTGTTTTAATTTCAGATGGCTTAGAATGGTTTAGCATGGACAATTCTCTTCAATTTGATGGCTGGCTAAAGGGTATTGTCAGGTAGGAGGACTAATCCTTTGATTCTTTCCAGTTAACCCTGAAAATTTCAGGAACTTTAATTAAATTTAAATCGTTATCTTTCTTAATTGTAAAATTCTGAAAGAAAGTTTTATGATAAATTTAAATTTTGTGTATAAGGAGAACACTTCGAAAAATGCTTCAACTTCATTTCATATAAACAAAAATGTTCCATAACGTAGACTTTATTCTAGAAATATTAAAAATGTGAAAATCCTCTTTTATGGTGTGAAATCGTTATCAAAACTTGTGCTATCTAATTTCTAAAGAGTAAATAACTAAAAACCAATCACCTCAAATGTCTGAAAATAGTTCGATAATTGTGAAAAGAAGAATTTTCGAGGGGAAGATGTATTTCAAAAAGAATTTAATAATACTCGAAAATATTCAAATATGTCTAAACTCGTTCGTCAGGCAGTCTATTTACCATAGGTGTAAATAGAGAAGGAAAAAGAGAAGGAAAAAGAGAAGGAAAAAGAGAAGGTAAAAGTGAAGGAAAAAGTGAAGGAAAAAGAGAAGGAAAAAGAGAAGGAAAACGAGAAGGAAAACGATAGAAAAAGATGTAGAAAAAAGATAAAAAAGATTTAAAACTATTTTTTAGAGCTTGAGAATTAAAAGTAGATAATAAACACCAAGTTCAATCATGGGAAATAATTTCCAAGAAAAAATATGTCCCTGGACTGACAAATTATCTAGCCCAACTTATTTGTCAGTACCACCATGATCATAATTTATAAAGTCCAACGGCGTATACTATTTTTTCAAAAATACATTCTTCTGGGGATTATTATTCAATACGGTTGCGGTTTGAATCGGGGTGAATAAAAAATCGGAATATTTTATCCTAAGTTATAAAGTGCACCAAATATATAAATTTCTGTTTACAGGAGATTTTCAAGTCTAAGTTCTGATGAAAAAACCGAAACTTTAAATGAACTTTTGTCCATCTGCAACAGTGAGCAGCTATGGAGTCTACATCAGAAGCTGCCAGGTAATGAATACACAATATGTTGGAGCTACTTTTCATGGCGTCCATGAATATTGTAAATCCTGTAAGTTTTTTATTCGGACAAATAAACCCTTGTTTTTGAGTTTTCAGATTTGTTAATGCAGAAAAACAGTAATATTTCAGCCTTGAATTTGGACTTTAATGGTTCAGAATAGGGTCTCAATACGTTGATATAAAATTGTTAAAAGCAATATTGGGTGGACTTCAATCACTGTCACCGTACCACCTAAGAGAAAACCCCTTTTTATGTCATTTTACTTAATTGTTTGTAATACATGTACTCATTATTTAGATTTCTTGTACCGCGATTTTATCCTGCTACTTCCTCCCGAGATAACAGAAAAGATCTTACGATATCTCTCTCCGTCTTGTCTACTCAGCGCTATTGGAGTATCAAAAGGATGGAATCTCAAAATCAGGGAAATCAAACTTGGATTTTGTTTCTTAAATATGTTTAACAAAAGCATTCAAGTTTAAGTCCACCAATAACTTAGATGGTGGAAAATCCCAACGAAGCTTTTTCAATGCATATTGATTTATCAATTTTCTTTGAATGAACAAAACAAATTTCGTGATTTGAAACTTATATAGACATACATAACAATAGGTATTTAAAACTACATTTAAGTTAACTCTTAAGTTAACTCTTAAGTTAATTTAAGTTTGGTTTAGTGGAATGAATCAGTTGTGGAAAGAACAGTGCAATATAGTTGGTTGTAATCTAAATGCCTCACTAGATATAGATTACAGAGCTAGCTGTGTTCAAGGTATTATTAATTTACTAGCTTTGTAAGTGGAACCCTTACCCACTACCCAGCATTATTTGTGAACTAAAACTGCCCTTTGTAAGACAACCCATTTAACTTAGAAAGCAAAGAACATTTCGTGGTTCGAACAAGTTCTCCAATCGAAATTTGAGGGAAATCGATTAAGGGGTTCAGGGTTATAGTCATGAATTTGTCCAAGGGGGCTTAAATTTGTTTTTCCAGGTGGGGGGCTCACCACCCATTGGGGCCTGAAAAACATAGATTTTACTGGTCCAGGGGAGGCTTAGCCTCATGCCCCCCCCCCCCCCAACCCGACTACGGCTCTGAAGTGGTTTATGAGTTATGATTGTATATAAAACAAACAGACAGACAAACAGAGATTACTACTTTATCTATATATATACTATGCTTGTCTGGGTGTTTTTTTGTCCGTTTGTATTTATATTAAAGCTCTTCACTTATATATAATACATATATTCGTGTATATGTTAGTCGTAAGCTATAGCTGGCCAAACGGCTGGACCGAATTGGCTGAAATTTTTTAGGAAACCCTGGGGGTAACATAGGCTAAACAAATTCAATTTTTTTAAATCAATTTCTTTTCAAAAATCAAATTATTTTTCAAAATTCGATTTTTATTTTATTTCCGTGGCAACGCCGTGCACTCCAGCTAGTATCCAATAAACGACTGAACCGATCGGGCCCAATTTTTTTGGGGGACCTAATATGATTCTAGGGAAGGTTTATAAATGTTAATATATATATAAAAGCCTTTTATATATATTATACATACTTGCTGAAGTGCCTGGCTTTGCCCGTGGGAAAAAAGGTTGAAAAAAATTCAAATTGTTTTTAGCCTATGTCACCCCTAGGCTACCCATGAGTGCAGTCCACAAAAAAATTTTCAGTCAATTCGGTCAAGCCGTTTGGCTGGCTATTGGCAACATATAATGAATGTCTTGTTTTATAATATATTACAATGTATAATAATATTACAATATATTGTATACAAAATTCATGGTTGGAAAAAAAATCTGTTTTTGGTTTTGCAGTAGTATCACATTATTCTCATTTATCATAAATACACAATTATTTCTGAACGAGTTACAAAAAAACACAAAGAAAATACAAAGAAGCATTACTCTTAATAAAACATTTTTTTATAGTTTAAGATTAAGATTTCTATTTTGTTACCAGTTGCCATATTTAGGATATTTTTCTTCATCTTATTAACCTCAAATTTTTACCTTCTAACAAACTTCAGGATTAAGACTGCGACATGAACTGCAAGAAGGAAGAGTTTGGGATCAGGAAGGATTAGTGAATCTTGTCAAACCTCCAGGACGATTCTCAGCTCTTCATCACCATTTAGGACACATAGCAGGTTGGTGCAGTGCGAACCACTTTGTCAGTGATAACATTTCGATGGCTGGGAGTGCCGACCCATCTTTCATGATCGGTTGTCTTTCAATAATAAAAATGAAAACTAAGTCACTATCCAAACATAAAAAAAAAATATTGAAGCCAAAGAGAATAGAATATAAGTTAGAGGGGAATTTACTAGAAAAAAGTGTAAAACGGCCATTTTGTTGTACTGTTTCCATACTGCAGGTGTACTTCCCATATTTATGCTCTATAACCTTTTGGGCCCTGGAATATCATTTTATAGAAAATCTAAAATTAATGTTAAAGAAAACCAAATTATGAAATAGGCTGGTTTCATAATTGACCAATGATCATTTCACATACACTCTATGCCTTTCACTTTACAAACGATGATTTTCCGTTATAAATCAAATGATGTTTTTTTATTCACCTAATTCATTTTAAAGTTTATTTAACAGCTATAAAAAATTCAAAATTGAAATGAATAGTCTAGGGAACATACTGTATTAATGTACTCTACTGCATATAATTTGTGAACATTTACATGATTTGTACACTTTGAACTCCTTTTCAGGCTGAAAGGGACTGAAAAAATTCATACCGAGAGATTCTCTAAATTCCCCTCTAATATATATTCTATTCTCTTTCATTGAAGCACTGGTTGGATGAAATTTTAATTTAACATAGAAGAGTTAAAACTTTTTTAAAAACTTAACCATTTTTGCCTCTTAAGATTTTCCCTTCTAATAACTTCACATTATTTTTAGGTTAAAATATCCCCTTGTGTTCTTCATAATAACGGGCTTGTACTATTCAAGTAATTGCCACCAAAATAAGTTTTAATAATATGGAAATGTTTGAGGTGGGACAGCAGATAGCAGTCATACAACAGCTGTAGAAGACAGTGGAGAGTCAATTGTGATTTGGTCCGTGTCAGCAAATAGGTAAGAGAGTTGGCTATCAGCAATAAGAAGAAAATTATAGCTTTCTTCCATTTTGAAATATCTTTTCTGTCTTTTTATCTTCTTTGTAATTGTATCTGCAACTCGTTTTTAGATTGTTAACTTGTATCTGCTTCCTGTATTTGTCTTCGTATTGATATTATGATTATTCTCTATTTAAATCTTTGAACTGTATAAAGATATTTAATATTTATTGTACTGATGTGTTCCTGTATTCTGTTTGTGTTTCTTAATTTTCATTCTGAATCTTTGTTTTTTGTTTTTTAAATTATTTTTTCTGGATTTGTATCTGCATTAATTTTTGTTTTTCGTTTTTATATCTTTATCTTTGTATATTTATCCTAATCTCGGTTTTCAGAGTTGATGTAAGCTTTCCTGTTTCCGGATCTGTATCTTGTATCAAACTGCTCTACCCGGTTATGGTGGTTTGTGGACATTTTGATGGCACACTCTCGTCTCATAAGGTAGAGTCTAGTTTGAAAATTTAATAGAACAAAAAAATTATTTTGGATCCGTCTAAATTTTTTTTCTATTCTGACATTTTTTAGTTGCAAATTTATTGACCTTTGTGGGTTTCACCAATTTCCTTTTGGTCAATACTTGTATGATATGTTATTAATCCTTTATAAACTTGCATTTTCTTCTGGATTATGGATTGGTTCAGCTGCTTTTTTATCTTCCTTCACAGTTTCTTTCTCTGCAACTTTGATTGAGAAACAACTAATGGTTTTAGTTTTAACTTTCAAAGAACATATATTCTTATCCTGTTTACACTGGTAATAGAAGTTGTGAACAATGTATATAAGATTACCATCGCTGTCTCTTTTTCAAGTCCTAGATCTAGTCCCTTAATATGTGAATCTGATTTAACTGTTTAACATACTGATGTATTTGTTAATGTGGATTTATCCTCTCTAGATGGTTTACATGTATCATTCACCATTCTTAGGAAACCAGGCATACTTAAGAGGTTAGAATAAATCAGAAAAGGTTAACAATTAGCATGGTGTACATTGAAAAATAAAGCTGGTTAAGCCTTAGAAGTTAGGCCATAGTCACCGCATATGTTTGTCCAAGGCTCCATATGCCGCACTCAGTACAGTGTATGGAGCGTAAACAGGTCTCGTCATGATAGCAGGATAGCAGCTGAATTCGCTTCAGGAAGGCAGGAACAACCAGTTAGCAGTACTGCAGCTGAATTAGATTAAAGGACATTTTAGTGCGTTTAAATATTGTTGTAGAGTATCCTGAGTTTCCTGACAATGGTTACTGTTTAAAGAGGCAGGAACCACCGTTTTGCAGTACAATACAATTTGTTTAAAATCAGATAGTTATTAAGGTGTTCCCACCTCAGGTTAAATACATTGTTTTGGTTCAAGAATATGAGCACAGTAAAATAAAAATGCACTATTTTTCTAAAATATCTAGGGAGCCAAAATAATGACCAGAAGGTACAGTTACTTTAGTTAAACGTCCTTAGTCTCCTGTCTTAATATTAATGACCGTCTGATCTAGGTGTGTGGTATGGCAAGTTCCTACAAACCTCCCTTGCGCGGATTTCATAGATTTTCCGAGCCTGGTAGTCTGCTCAAGAAATTTAGACTTCATACATCTCCAGTTTTATCCTTGGGTAAGATGTTCTGTCAATATTTATGTTGGATGTCACAAAACAAGGATTAGGTTTAATAACAGTTAACAGATTTCTTACAATTCCATAAAATAATTTTTCAAATATCACAGTTAAATTTTTTTTGTAATGCATCAGCTGCCAGATATTTTATTGAACATCAACTTGTAGTATATTTTTTTTAAGATTTTGACATGGATGAAAATATTCTCGTATCTGGGTCTGCTGATTGCACCACCAAGGAAATGATACACACTATGAATAAAACATGAAGAACTTAATTTTTTGATTTTATAAATGAAAATAAAAAGAATATAGAACAAAATAAAATATAGATGTTTATTTCATTAATAGATTTGGGAGCTATCAAGTGGTGCTCTGCTTAAAACCTTGGCTAGTCAGAGTCACTGGGTTCTTAGTGTTATATTTGCGTCATACTCAATCCACTCTATTCCAGCCTTTAGGTATACCTCGTCCAATCCATTCCAGCTTATATATATACTCAATCTACTTTATTCCAGCCTTTAGGTATACCTCGTCCTATCCATTCCAGCTTATATATATACTCAATCCACTCTATTCCAGCCTTTAGGTATACCTCGTCCAATCCATTCCAGCTTATATAAAACGGATTTCTCCGCGTGGCTTGGGTTAAATATAGAAACCAAACATAAACAAGAAAACCCGTTAAATATCAGTAAAAGGTGGGGGGGGAGGCAAAATGGGGTTGAGTGCGAACGAAGGGTAAAAATAAATGACAAACAAAATGCTATTTACAGTCGCAGGAAAGATCAAAACATCATTTTCCTGCTACAATACTCTTGACTAATTTCATGCTTTTTCTGACAGATTTTTGTATCTCAAAGCGTGAAACTGATAACGCCCAAATACATATGACCCGAGGGAAAGATTTTGTTCAATGTCCATGTTATCTCTATATATTCCATTGCACTCACACTAACTAGGGGAGGACGGCAACCCACACTTGTTTTCATCAGACCCACAAATGACGTTATAAAGGGATTTTGTGACATCATATTTACCCGTAGAGCTTTCGACCTACACCTGTTCTGTCTTCAGACAAGATTTTTTATTTTCAAATGCTAATTGTAGCCCTGAAATGCTATTTTTACTCCCGTTGGAGGACGTCATGCAGCAGCGTAAAAAATATTTTTATGACATTGAACTTAAATTAATCAAACTTTTTTATTTTGTTTTTCCACAATTTTAATTGAAAAATCAAACAGAATGGGTCCATTTTTTTGTGTAAAGGTTGAATTTCTCTTATTGCTGATAAACATTTTCTGAGAAGATTATCATAATCCGCTGAACTTATATATTACTTAAATAGAATTTTAAAATCTATTTTATGCTTAAATTTGTGGGTAGGAGGCAAAATGGGCGTGGGTTGCCTTCCTCCCCTCCACCAACTCAAATCTAATCTTTTAATCCTAGGGATCGTCAGGTTTTGATTATTATGACGCGAGATGATATTCAACTATTCTCCTGGGATCCAGAAAGGTGTTTTCATCATTAACTTTTAAATCTTCACATTTTAGATAATTTTATCATACTTTTTGCTATCACTAAATTAGACATTTTTGCCAACCCCTATATCATTGACTGCAGGGTTGTCCTTTGATTATAATTATATTTAGAAAATGTGTCCGTGGTCCAACTGATCAAAATGAATGTCAAAATATTGTAAACCTGAAGGAAGTAAAACAAAAACAAACTCTGAAAGGTACCCTCCTTTTTATAATACATTATTATGACGCTAACTATTCAATATACATACAAGCAAATAATTGGAGCAATTTGAATTTTAGAAATTGAAAATCATGATCTCTACATTCCACTGAAATCTGTGACTGATGCTATTCAATCTTTTTTCTTCACTCCTGGACTTCACTTCGACGGCCGCCGAATATCTTTTGTTCGTCAGATGCCTATGTTCGACACTCAAACTATTGGGGATGCGGACATTGTTACAATTGATACAGGTAACTAAACAATCTGGCAAATCGTAGGAGGAGACGCAAGAAAATGGCAAACTGTATGCCCATGTTTAGAAACTGGTAAAGTTGTACAGAGTGTTCATGTGAATCAGAAAATACGGAAGCTTTTGGCAATTGGAAAGAGGTTTGCCGTTATCCTCCTACCCTTTGTGGATAGTAAATACAAAAACTTAGGTATTCGCTTGTTTTTAAAGGGAATAAACGGGCTAGATAGACATGCTAATTCTTTTTAATTAATAAATTATTTCCAACCTCTAAAGGCCACAGACACCCATCCCTCAGGTAGATCCTGTTTATATACAATTGCATAGGCATACGGCCAGGATCGGGTGTTACATTTACTTTAAAATTTGTGTTTCATTTTTCGGCATCGTTATCAAACAATTTTAAAAATCAAGACTCCAGGATGGACATTCAGGATTTAAAGATAGAATTTTTGCTCTTATTCAGCCATTATATACTATACAAACGTCTTCTAGTAGGGTCTCAAATGAATCCTTAAAGATATACAATTCTGCACTTTTAGTTCAACTACCATGTCTGTCTAGCCGGTCACTTTCTTTAAGATAATAAGTTCTTGGTTTTAGAAATATAATTTTAATAATTTCAATTATTTCAGCTGTTGTGGATCTTTTAAATAGGGAAATTATCGGAGGATGCACTGTTCCTCACTCCAGAGCTTCAACTCCGGACTTCAGCCAGGTATTAGAAAAAAGTTAATGTGGGGGGGGGGAGGCAATAAATAGGATCAATTTAATTTTATTCAACATTGTGTAAGTAGATATTAATGTACCAAATTATGTCATATGCCTATTGTGTATATAATTGTTATACATTCAAAATGTAAATTATTTTAAAATAAATGCTAAGATAGTTTCTGTCGTCTAATGCGTTCTATTTCTAGGTTAGCATCGGAGATACAGCATGGTTGGATGGATTTACAGGTAAATTCCTCATCCGTGATCGGTAAAG